ACCACATGACTATTTGTGATCGAAATATCGTCATAACACAAAAACGGTGCGCATTAATCGAACTCAAATGGTATAATGGTGTAAAGGACGAAGTTAAGGAAAAGTGGCCAAAAAATCCGTTTAGTAAAAGATTAAAATTAGAATTTGTACAAAAACAAGTTCTCATCCACAACTTTGTCCGCTTAATAATAAAAAACCGTGTTAGTTTCCTTATAGGCTGTTACAGATAACCTATATTTTTTTTAATTTCCATCTAGATCCGTTTAGACATACTCAAGTTATATTGTAACAAACATCCATGCGTCCCATCCCTCCATCAAAACTTAGAAGTATGACAGTAAGATTGAAGATGGTTTATAGAATCCGGATTATGTAGGCGACCGTGAAACTGTCTACTTTATGTTAAGTAATTAACATAAAATACAAACAACCAGAACAAAGGATATTTACTAGGCGTTATTTTATCTGTATTTAAAACATACTTTTTGCATAAACCTTGTAAACGAAGAAAATATTACTCATAATGATAAAATAAAATTAATAATATCGTTTGGCTGCGAAATAGACATTAATACTAAATATGGAGTGAACTTTGGCAAATATTTGAAAGACAGAGCTATTATAAAATATTACTGCATAGTTTCCATATTTATAATCGAATGAATTTATTCAAACAAGCATAAGATAAACAAAAGTATATTTACGGAAAGTTATCATTTATTACGTCGATAAAAATTATTCATAAAAACTTTATAGGTATATTTGCGTCAACACATCGAGTTCTTATCAGCGTAGAATAATATAATCGGCGTTGACTTATGAATCAGATCTTTAGCACTAAACAGGAAACCTTCATGTGGCGATTTCTTTGAACGGTCTTATTGCAGACTATCCTCAACTAACCACACTTATTTTCTACGTAAACGTTACATGCAATGTCTTAAAATGAAGATAAATATTAACCATAAGTTCTTTAATTATTTATTTTTAACTATTTATATGAAATTGTAATCACTGTAGTTTTGGTTAAGTAAATAGAAAATTTATGTGATGATTTTCTGTTTACTTTGATTATGTAAATAATATCACTAATAGTCAATACAAATTGCACAATAGATGTGTTCAACTTTTTAGACTATGATTAACCAAAGGATTATCAAAAACTTTGACTTTTTTTTACATTATTTTGCTATTAATGAAAATCCAATTTAGGGCATTTATTTATGGTCACCGTACATGTCTCGGCTTAAGTAAACACTCATATAGTGCATCACGTTATGACGTGCTCTAATATATTGCAAAGGAAACGAGATGCAATCTGCAAGGCCACTTACAAACAAATTAATCATATTCTTGACATAGTTTTAACTTTTACTACCAGTCACTTTTCAAATATAACTTTAAAAAAACACGCTGCGGTACTCAAACTCGTCTGTCTATATATTTCCCGTTTCTATGTAATTCTTTTGTTGTTAAAAGTATATAACCCACGCACTTCTTAAGAGTACTTTGATGCAATCAAATGAGGTAGCAATACATCGTTATATAGAAGTGTCGCTTGCCTTAATAACGCGATCTAAACCGGTCAATCTGGTACTTGTGACGTCACATGTATGTAGGCGACGGTTTCCTAGCCTACACTTGCATATAGATGCAAATTTTCTATAAAACATTTTCTATCAACATCACTTTACTGTAATACAACTTTGAATAATCGTATGACAATATTTTCTACAAACAGGTTCTTAGACTCTCGAAGTATATATATCTATGATTACTAGTTTAATTTGCCAATAGATTAATGCGATGAGTATGAGTTAACAACAGTTAAGTGCTATTTGTTTTCCAGTTTGAAACCGTCAGAGGAATAGTCAGTGGAGGCGCGGAGGCGACGCAACGCGAGGGAACCCGCTCTCCGATGACTCACGCACCGAGTTCACCATTCGTAACCACTGCTTGTTTGTGCTAAATCGCAACTCGCACCACGATATATTATTATTTTCTTTATTAACTCAAATGCGTGTTTATTCTTCCAATAAAATTAAAATCTATTTAATATCAATTTGAATACTAACTGCCACACTCCGATAATACGATAAGGTACACGTATCGTTCTGACAAAACAAAATGCATGACACACAACAAAAGTTATCCGGACACAAAGGAGAAAGTTCACGCCAACTGTGTGATGTTATCAAGGAAGGCCTCCAACACACTTCAACATGTCCTGAGATATAATCATGTTAGATGTCTTATATTGTGTTTATAGAGATAATATAATATTAAAATAGAAAGCTCAATGATTATTAGTTCATCTTATAAATAGTGTTAAAAGTGATGTAAGGTATTAAACAATTAATATAATTTAGTGAGCGCAAATTACTCGAGCAATGAACGCAGACGAGAGTTGGCGAGTGGGCGGCGCGACATCTTTCTCCACAACGCGACGACGTCGACAGCCGCTGAGGGCTTTGTCCGCTTTCTGACCACTGACATCACAAATTATTGAACAACTTGATACGACTATTAATATCTTCCACAATTAAATTCTTAATGATCACATCTTCTCTGCATTTCATTTTGCACATTGTGAAATTAAGGTCAGAAACGTATAAGGAACCTTGAACTTCAGTCGTTTTCGCCCGACCGACAGAAGGGCAATATATTTCTCTTGTATTTTGTGTCTCTTGCTCTTGTATGGTTACTTCAACTAAAACCGACAAGATACGCCTTCGAAAACAAAAGATATACGCAGACTTTTAGATGAGATCCGCGTGTACTGCATTGAAGCACTGAAGTGGACAACACTTGACCTAATACCGTCTTTACAAAGAACTGCAGATTACGAGAACGTCGTAAAATGACACTAGTCATGCACTAGGCAATAAGCAATTTTAATATAGGATACAAAATTAGTATTTTTAAGAACTAAATGAAGTGCGAGGATGTATATATAAGTAGAACCACGAAGCAAATCTTAATCCGGAACTATTAATTTGATTAAGAGATAACTCACTTAAAGAGCTTAAGGCTACTGAAAACAATATAAAACTCGATTAACAAGTTAAATGACACTATGATTTTCACGTACTTAAGTGAAATCGCAATCCTAGACGATGGCAACAAACATGTCTAAAAGTTTTTACTTTCCACAATATTTTATTTATGTTGAAATTTTTTATGTATATTGGTAGCGGATCAGGTCATTTGTGGCTTTTGCTATAGCTGGTGGTACAGGAAGACATCAATAATGTCGCGCGCGTGCCAATAAATGTACAAGGTTATGGGGGCTGCCGCGTCACAGCAAGGGCTAATCGATGGCACGCAATAGGAAACGTCGTTGATAAAACTTTGTATTACTTAATTTTACAATTTTCAAGAAATATTGTATCATCAACGTATTCACATATAATTTCGGCTTTCAACGAATTATGTTAGGATAAGTCTCGATTATAACGCCATTAAGAAAAAAGTCAAAAACATCAATAAGAAAAGCTTTTCAAACTTATCCCTCAATCGTAACATAAGTCAAATCCGCGATAATACATCGTCAAAAATAAAATAGAAGTGAGATATGTTGCGATACTAACGAAAACTGTTACAACAGACTTTTGTCCGTTTTTGGCAAATTTAAAATTTAACGTTGGTGGTACACAACGAGCATCGCCGTACATGGGCCGCGCAAGGCCAGGGCGCGTCCTCGCCGGACCCAACCTGCCGCCGAACAAGTGCCACGGATACTTTTGACTTGCACTAAATAACAATAAGATCTCATTCATTACTTAAAACATTACTAGTTGCTTCCTATGACTATGTTTGTGAGAAATAATTTATTAAGAAGTTACATTGAATACACCGAAGTTAAATTTGATGTGTACTCAAAATTTTTCTATATCCAATATCTCACCGTACAGACCACTTAGTAGAGAGATAAAAAATTTAATATTCTTCACTTAAAATTTTTAGCACACTAAATTTAATTCAAAACATTTTTTTGGCAAAATTAGGCTAAATATCCCAGTATGTCATTGACAAATAACCATATCTAAAATAGCTGCAGGATAAAACGGTGTGATACCTATAAAACTAAAAATATATGCATTGAAATTTAAGTATATCTTGTTAGTTATAAAACTAATAAGTTCTTGGCATCCTTTAAATTAAGGTTAAGTTAGTTTGTAACTTTATTTGGTTCGGTTCGTTTGTATATTTTTCAGCCACATCTTATTTCTTTACAATACAGTCATATTTTTTCCAAAGTGACTTATCTTAGCTGTTATTTTTAAAGTTGATTTATTTGGGTATAAACACAACTTCATATATTAAATTCATGAGATTTTATTGTTTTTAATTTTAATTCCAAAAAATTATAAATGAGTAACAAATAAAAAAATAAAGTAATTTATTCAATTACTTGAAGGATTCTAAATTACATTGAAGGTGTTGATAGTATGAAATGTTATAAAAAAATTATCAAACAAAGAAAAATTATCAGATTTTAATATTATTACTGTTTATGTAAACCTTTTCACATAAGATTATTCGACAAATATCTTCCAATAAGATAAAACTATTTGTAACAACTGTATTTCATTTTCTTGATGATCCATCAAAATGTTACAATGACAATTTGAGTCATACTTTATATTGACTTGGATTTAACCATTGACTTTTTCACATTTATAACAAGTACTTTAATATTTTCTTATCATATCTATCATATAGTGTGCAAACTCACATGGCTCAAAAACGGACTTAAGAATCGAATTTGAAAATAAAGAGATCTTATATAAAATACCCCGATATTGCTTATTAATTTATACATCAAGGATTTGGTTATTTATCTTTAATAATACGATACCAGTTTATTCAAAGTTACCGACAACGAATTGAAACACGGTCGCGATAATATTACACAGAAATGCAAAAAATATAACTATGCAGTAATATTGTGCAAGTGGAAAGCAATTGCAATAAATTCAAAATGTGATTGAACTCACCATCTGTTCTTTTTATGTTGATGTTAATTCCGGACTGGATATTTACTGTACCGTCATCCATTTTCGCACCGTTTTATGCACCACATACACTATATAACATTATATTATAATAAATTATAGTCAAAATATGGTTTAACACAATCGAAAATTGCACATGAGAACCGGTGAAAATTACAAATAAATTTCTACACCCAGATTGACAGTTATATCGAGCTAGCTACACACTTCACAGTGGAACGTTTGAAATTTATTTCATTTCCAGACAATAGTCAAATCAATTCCACTCAATTTTAATACCGATTTAAAGCAATTGATTTGAAAATTGTTTCAATTAAATAAACTTAAGCAATAAAAAAACTACAAACGTTTAAAATATTTCGGTTAAAGTACGAAAATCCAAAATTATCAGTGTGAACTCCAATGCGTCGAAAAACACTGTATTGCCATATTACCGTTACATCACTTTCCCCTTTACGAATACGAGGTCGTGAATATTCCTCGCGGAGAAATCCCAAAATATAGAAATACATTCAACATCTCCACTCTTATTACTATTTTTTCCAAATTTTTATATCCAATCGTGTTTAATAACATATTAAAACGTATAATCAATATTATAATTTCTTTGTTGTTCACAAAAAGTGTGTGTGTTGTTTCCATAATATTTAAACTTATTTAACATAATGCTGCTGCTGTAGTGCTAAGTTTCATTTTCGTTTAACGGAGTAAAATATTAATTTAACAAGTTTAAAGTGTTAAAGATTCTTTAGGCCCATTCGGAGCAAAATTCCACGAAACGATAATTACCCAGAATCTAGGGCTTAAAATTCACTCCCAGTGTTGTTACCAATAACTTTTATTGTCTATGATCGGATCGCCAATCACAAATGACAGATAGTAATCAATCAAATTTTAGCATTAAGTTTTACAATTTCAATTTAAGGGTAAAATAAGAAGCAACGCCGTTATGAATAGCGAAATAAAGCTATCACACAAAGCAAAAAAACGTATTAAAGAAGTTAAGAGAAAAGCAAGACCCGGTAAGAGTTTAGTTTCTTAAAATCCATGGCGATGTGCTAGCTTTTCATTGCACACATTCTATGGTATTTTCTATTTAAAGTGTGTTATCTGTTTTATAAAGATTATTTATTGATTGTCTGGTAATTGCCGATAAAGTTAGAAGGTAACTGCATTAAGAATTTTCTAGACGTATTCTGTCACGCTTTTTGAGCAACGACCTCCATGCTTATAATTCTTTACACCAATGTTATCCACAATTTTAGATTCACAACATAACGAGCGTATTTTACATTTTGAACTGCCATAAAGTCAAATATCAATAGCTTGGTGGCACACAGATAAAATGCCTATGTAATTAAACTGTTACAGAATTAGTTGACAAACACCAATGGACAGCTTTAAAGTATGCAGGAAATTTTGAAGAGTTCCTAAAATGCAATGACAATGTGGACCGAATAAATATTAATGAAGTTCCACAAGAATTATTTATAGAAAAATATGAAAAGATTTATAAACCAGTAGTAATAACCCATGTACAAACTAATTGGAAGGCCAACCATAAATGGACTTTAGACAGGCTCGCTAAGAAGTATCGTAACCAAAAATTTAAATGTGGGGAGGACAATGAAGGTTATAGTGTTAAGATGAAAATGAAGTATTATGTTGAATACATGAAAACAACTACTGATGACAGTCCACTTTATATTTTTGATAGTAGTTTTGGTGAACATCCGAGAAGGAAAAAGCTTCTAGAGGACTATGACATCCCACTATATTTCAGAGATGACCTGTTTAAGTATTGTGGAGAAGAAAGAAGGCCACCTTATCGTTGGTTTGTAATGGGACCTCAGAGGTCTGGGACCGGTATTCACATAGATCCTTTAGGCACAAGTGCTTGGAATGCCTTGGTCTTTGGCCATAAAAGATGGTGCCTGTTCCCTACACAAACACCAAGGGAAATGATCAAAGTCACTGGTGCAATGGGTGGCAAGCAAAGGGATGAAGCTGTCACTTGGTTCAAGTTGATTTATCCTAAAACTCAATTGGACACATGGCCTAAAGAGTATAAGCCTGTATGTAATTTTTCTAGCACACTTAATTTTTAGACAACAAACTTTTAAATATTAACTTTTAGTTATCCATTATTAAGATTTATAATAAAGTTGTCATTTATTCTATAATGTTATTGAATAATTTTCAGGTGGAAATACTCCAAAAGCCAGGTGAAACAGTATTTGTGCCAGGAGGTTGGTGGCATGTTGTACTCAACCTGGATGATACCGTAGCTGTGACACAAAACTTTTGCAGTCGCACCAACTTCCCTGTTGTATGGCACAAGACAGTCCGTGGGCGCCCAAAGCTATCAAAGAAATGGATCAAAACCCTTGAGAGCAAAGAGCCTGACCTCTTCAAAGTTGCAAGCAGTATGGATTTGAACCAGAGCACTGGGGTGGCATCTGACAGTTCCTCTAACAGCAGCTCCTCCAGCAGTGACAGTGACAGTAGTTCTTCTAATAGCTCCAGTGAGGAGGACAGCGGACAGGAAAGCATTACAGCACACAAAAAGAAAAGAAAAAGGAAAGTGTAAAGTGAAAAGTAAACAAAAATCAATGAAGTAATTAATAATTGCACCAAATTTTTTAAATAATGTAATGAATTATTGTCACATATTAAGTAAGCCTGCCCATTTTGTATTACTAGTGTAATTCCTTAAGTTATACTAATTGTTGTTTCCAGAATAGTGAACAATATATTTTTTGTTAACAGAAATAAATAAATAGTATTACAACAAATTGTTTTTGTGTTATGTATCTGAAAAGATAAAGAAAAATTATTTTGTCTTTAAGATTACAAGTTCTAGTTTATATCAGCAAATAACTTTACTAATCTAACGTAAATCGCTGGGTTTGCTATCTAATTCCGATCCAGCTATTTTCACAATTTAAAAAAATATTTTTAGCAAGGGCAGAACCGTTTAAAAAACAATTATTTTAGAGTGGCAATACAAGATCGTTGACATCTGCCAAAGCGGCGAATAGGAAATTCTTGTGGTCTATGGTCGTCGGTAGCCATTTGTTATCCTAAAAGTCTCTGAAACACATCAATTCAAAATGCTGAAATCAGCCTCTGGATCTCTGATAAACGTCCTGAAAAGGTCCATAATCCCGGCAGTGAGGACCAGTGCTGCAATTCCAGTGAGGTGGTCTCACGATGGTCCGGTTGAATCCGATGAAGAATTTGATAACAGGTTAGCTCTTATAGTTTTGACGTTATGTAATTGAAAATCGTATCCTATTGGCACTATCATTTTATTTGTGATTTTCGCAATGAAAATAAAATCCTGGGTAACATTCGCACCGTTAAATTTTAAAGTAATTATACAGTTTTAGGATAAACGTGAGACATGCTTTACGCCGATCAATAACGTCTGCTCTTTATCTATAATATCAAATGTACATTCCGCAGAACATGGTCGATTAAATAAAAATAGTCAATTGCTTAAGAGAAGTTTACTGCTGTGAATGATATTTTCTTCTCCTTTTAATTACTAGTGGTTCCCATCGGTATATAGGAGTTAGATAAATTTTACATGTTTATTAAAAATTTTAATATTAAACCAAAATTATGTAGTATTTATTTAAAACTCTATGTTAATTATCATATTAATGTATCATTAATTACAGTTTTTAGGCCTAAAATATTTCAGCTCTATGAATTTTCAATGTAACACTAAGTCATTGTCAGACCCAATAAAACTTCTATCATTTAGATACAGATCAGATATTCATTTACTTTAAATTATATGGGCAAACTGGTTAATTACAGCTAAATTGCAATTTAAAGATAACTTATTTTGTTTCACATAATAAGGACCTTAAAATTTCTATTTTAGGTCATTTGGTTGGTTCAAAAATGACTATTGCAGTAAAATTACTGCAATGCAGTGTTTTGTATTTTTTCACTTAAAGTGACGTAATCCAAAGTTCTGGTTTTATGACCATGGTGTTTCTTCATTCACAGAAATACATAATAGTTTTGTAACTAGACAATGCTCCAAAAATTTTTGATATATATTTTTAATGTCAACAATCTTGCAATTACTTATGTTAAGTTTTGTTCCAGATATGAAGCCTTCTTCAACAGGAAAGACATTGACGGCTGGGAAATCCGCCAGGGCATGAATGACTTGTGCGGTATGGATCTTGTCCCGGACCCTAAGATCATCAGGGCTGCTCTGCATGCTTGCAGAAGAGTGAATGACTATGCTTTGGCTGTCAGGTTCATTGAAGCTTGCAAAAACAAATGTGGACCCAAAGTGAATGAAATCTACCCCTACATCATCCAAGAAATCAAACCAACATTGACAGAGCTTGGTATTGAGACTCCAGAGGAACTGGGCTATGACAAACCAGAGTTAGCGCTGGAGAGTGTTTATGATGTATAAGGCTACCGGTGGTTATCATGTTAAGCTGTAGAAGAATGTGTATTATAGATTTGTCTTTAACTTTATTTTATTGAATTGTGCGAAACACATCTGCCTTAGCAAATGTTTTTTAGGTTCACCATTTAATAATCAACCAGCTTTTATCTAATGTATTAAAACATTAGAAGGAGAAATCTTATTGTTTTATTTTAATATTACACTCTCCTGAACCTGCATAACAATATTGTTTAGATAAAACACTAGCTAGATATTTAAAAAAAACACTGATACATGTTATGAGTTAAATACATTTATGAGTATTTGTAGCACAGTTGTTAAACACAGGTCTGTAATCTGCAAATCCCAGACTGATCCCAAACATCAACTGATTTGTTTCTGGACTTTCATATGTATATTTTTAACATTCTCACAGTGTAGAACTTTCTAAAGCAACGTCCGCATATTTGGGAATAAATTCGAAAGTGTATGGAGTCAACCAACCTGCATGGGGCTTAGGTGATAGAAGCCTACACACCTCTAACATAGCTTTATGCTATTCAGTAACAATAGTGTAACGGACAAAGACGACGACTTATAATTTGCAATTCTTTTGATGATTAAGATTCTTTACATTGTCTGTAATAATAGCGTATTGGTGATGTCTTGTATTTTGTTTAGATAACACAGCCTCCATCGTTACAAGTATGAAAATATTTTTTTATGTATATATCATTGGGATTATTGCATAAAAATGAGATAATAAAACAATTGGATTTAAAAGAGTGCTTTGAATAAATAAACCGTGTATGTAAATACTTTAATGATTGCAATATTCACACATTCATACCATCTATATACAAATCACAAATCATTGTACTTAATAACAAAATTGTGCTTTATTCCATCTATTCTTAAGGTAAAGAACACAATGAACTCTTTGGTGGTAATAATAAATTAATCGAACATAAAATATGAACTGAAAACAACATTAAATAATAAAACAATAAATACACGAGACTTTTGCAAACAGCATCGAATACTTCCAAAGCACGCATCACAAGTTTGTACTCTTCTATGACTACGACCTTAATTTTATTAGCCACGAATATATTTCAATAATTTACTTAGCGCGAATCTTTGTAAACTACTAGATTTTACCAATATTTGGTGAAGTTTCAAATAGCTACAAGCGTTTATACAGCCATATATTTAAAATGTTATTTCAAAAATTTTATACAATCAACAGACAGTTTAATTAGGTAGTCATATAATACGTTCTATAATTTCAATGTTTTTAAATGGTAAATGTTAATTGTCTATATATTTAAAAATATTTTCTCCGTTAATTTGCATAAGTCCTTACAATTTTAAATAGCACTAATATGACTGCCACATTTATTTAATGGATAAGTAGTCCTTAGTATAGATATTTCTTATTGGACACAAAGAGATTCCCTTAGTGCAAAACAACTGATCTTGGGTTTTTGAAACCAGAACCCCCTTTAAAACATATTGTTATTTCTGTTTTGTAAAAAAGAGGAATAACGGATATGTTATGAAGATATTTTGGTCTCAGAAACCAACGTGAATATAGCATTGAGTTTTATATAACATGATTAATTATACAATGAATGTAATGTTATTATAGACATGAAATAACAAAAACATATATCTCTTCTATAGAAAGTGAGCGGGATGTTAACATGTTTTTATGAAGTGAACTAATGGCAATATGTTACTGTCTGTGCTTGTTACATAAAATAACTAGAAAATATCTAACAAACTGCTTTTTACACCTTATGAATTTTATTTGAACCATATTTGGTATGTTTATTTGGTTACATTTTGTTTATATTTATCAACGTTTCGCCATTAACCATAGTGAGCGATAACCCTGCGCATATATTTCCTACTATCAAATAATTTACATTAACGCCCAGTTTAATTTCAGTCCAGTAATGAAATCCAGTGATACATGTATACAAACACTAAAACCGTATAGTGCATTCCAGTGCGGGTATACATTTCACTAGTTGTAAACAAGCGCTTAATTTGTTCGCTGGACTGTAATGTGAGCTGGGTAAAACTTTAAAATACAATAATTTATCTAACCGTGAATTATATTTATACAAAAGTTTTATTACATTAAAAATGTATTAGTAATTCTATAAATCATACATCACCTATATTATTTATTATAATATTTATACAAATTTGTAGACTAGAAAAGATTCACTATGACTGGAACTGGGACTAGAACATTGTACAACAAATCGTGAATAAATTAAAAGCCAACAACCGTCTCAACAATCACACTTATACTAAATATTTTAAAGGAATGTAAATAATAAATTAATTTTATAAATAATTGCCTCGTTACAAAATAAACGGAAGCCGAGTGTAGTATAAATTAAATAAATATGGATTTTAAATTAAAATATTGCACAAATGTAGGGCCTTATTGCAATAGTTTACGGGTTATTGCTGTGTAGAGTTCTATATATGTTATATTATCATAATATAACATTTAGTTAAATTTGAATTTCTAAACAAAGATGTCTAACATATGACAGAATTCCTATGATATGTTCAGGTACTAGACAAACTTATATACGAGCTCTACACATCAAAATTTCTACATAATAAAAGGGCCTGATTTGCTAATAAAATAAATTATTCTTTAAATACTATATTACAAATAAATATTATTTTAATATGGCGGTTACTGCCTTACTAACGAGAGCAAAATAAGTAACACGTTTTTATAATAAGATCGAAGTTTGAACTAAAATAAGATGACTTTTCTAACAGATCTGTTTGACACCACAACAGTCATTACACGAACACCCGCGTTCCAACATTTCGCACACCAATTCAGAAATTTCACTAAACAAGGTAACTTGATACACATTGCTACAGTTTTTAAGTAACATCGTTCAATGCAAATAGAATTAAGTCGTTCTTGTATCGATGTATTCACTCAACATAGAATATTCTAGATGAGTTGAGGCGTGTGTGTCGCGGCGGGGGGTGTGGCAGGGGGGACCGCCGGGCGGCGGTTGCGGCGGGCTAGGCGCGCTCCTCCAGCAGGCCCGGCGACGCCAACTCCGGCAGCTAGGAGTCCGCAGCCACAGCCTCGCGCTCAGACTTTACTTGTTGCTGGAACATTATTACAACCACATTAGTTACGTGGAGATTAAGTAATTATTGATGAATTGTATATTACATTGCCAGCAATCTCTTATTGCAAGGAGGTTAGTCAGTGAGGTCGTTACCATGGCCTTGGTGAGAACGGTGGCATCCTTGAGGCTGAGCACTTGCAGCAGCTGTGCGTCTCCACCGCCCTGCAGTACCACTTGCGCCACGCCGCCGCCCAGCGACAGCGCCTCCAGCCCTTCGCCGCCCGGCTCCACCTGCACACACCGTGACGTCATCACATCACACACACAAGGCAACCTTCAGTACCACAACATTGTGAAAGTGAACACGTAATAAATAATTATAAAACATACACACCTGTACAAGCAAACACCGACACATCTAACAATAAATTAAATAAAACAAACAAACAACATTCACATAATATAATATTTCTGTTATTAAGATATCTTCACTAGCAGAGGCGTGCTCTTATAATTTAAATATTTTTTTATACATTCAAGCGAAATTAAAACCAGGCAATCGATAATTATCGACAAATAATAATTATTATCCAATCACAACAATATTGTTAATAATTGATTCTAAACATAGCTTCAAGATAATTAACGTAAATTTACAAAAATCACAGCAATTCTTTGGACATTCTTCACTGTACATGTATATGTTTAGCTGTAGGTTTTCATTGCTAAACACCTTTTTTATACCCTGTGCAAATATTTTTGTCTTAGGTTTTTCAAAAAGAACAAAAATTTTTTTTAAGTGAAACTAATTTTTAAGACATTTAGTTCACTGAATAATTTTTAAATTGATAAAACCAACTCTCTTTTTAAATATTAATACTTTTTTTTAAGTCTTTTTGGACTGTGGCAACCCGAATTTTGTTTAAATTTTATTGAATAGAGAGAATAAAAAAAAATAATAGTTAAAATTGAATATACTCTTCAGAAGCCGATTATGTCAAAAATATAAAAATGCACATTTAACATATGTTAAAATACGTTCAATGTTTTTGTTTTGATATTTAAGAATATCAAAAGTGGTAATAAAACAGAAGAATAGGTTACATACATATAAAAAAAAGCAATTAGTCACTACATACATCAACCATAAATTTATGTTCTTTTACTTTGAATCCTAATGTCTATGAATCCACTTTCCCTACCCTATCCTTTTGTTATAAGAGAAGGAAGGGTAGGGGAAAATTACTAAAGCCTTTGGCACACACATTCGTCAGAAACGCATTAATACTTTAACTTAATGTCCAATGACAAATTGCTTCGAAACAAATTTTATTTTCAAAATAAATTGAAATGAAAGAGATTTTAGAAACATAAAGCTAAACATCTAATAACATGCAAGCACAAATTCTTTATAAACACTAGCGATAGCTACTTATTAAATAAAAATTATGATTAAAAATAAATAATTTGGTGTGTATTTTCTACAATCACGTGAAAACAAAGCATATTGAAAACAAACACAGCACAAAAATATCACAACTAAGTGGCTTACTACAAAATGGCACACTGAAAATTACTTATGTGTAAAACTGTTTATTTAGTGTAATTATTGGCAGTATATATAACTTAGGTACAAATCTATGTTAGGATAGCACCCATCTATGCTTGTTTTTTGAGCAAAAAATCAATAAATCTATTTATCAGCATAATTAACTTTTAAAAAAAGTATGTATTAATATTATATTTTTACTCTAATACTGTTGTAAATTACAACTGTGTACTGTTAGTAACAAGTTATAATATTATGAAGGTTTAAAGCATTATTTAATTGAAATTAAATGTGTACTAGCAAATACTTTTCTTTGGCAGTTAAGTATGGTTTACCATACGTGTTATAATACTATTAAGGTCTTTGACCTTGAAATTGTACTGGATATTGGTATTAATATAAGTGTTTCTATGTAACTTGTAATTTAATTACGTTTAATGACATGCATAATGTTTATGTATTGCATTGTATGACTGTATGTCTACGCAGCGACATGATGCGTGCGTGCGCGTGCGCAGTGCAGGGGGCGGGGCAGGGGGCGGACCTGCACGAGCGGCGCGACGCACACGCCGCCGTCCTGCTGCTGCATGGATGCCACCATAGACTGGTACACGGAGGCCGATACTGGCACCGTGATCACGCCCGACACAGACACCGGGTACCCTGGACACATACAAACATTTAAACATATTCATTTAAAGAACTATAGAACAGCTGTTCATCTGATCACATTTCCCTATTCTTTGGGTCCTCTCCTCCGTCAAATCCAATCGTCCTTCCCATCCTTCACTTTTAAGAAAACGACGGGTAGAAAATGGTGAATAAATTAAGCTTTCAGCATGCATATTCATCAAACGAAACTTGTAAATATTGGTAAAATGATATTTTAAGTGACATATGATATATTTGATATTGTCATGTGTTGTATGTGTAAGTATATACCGTGTCCGTCCTCGCCGGTGAGAATGAGCTGGCCCTCGTGGTTGAGCGTGGCCTCGGCGACTGCGTTCAGGTCTACCGCCACCGCGCCCTCGCCCTCCAGCGCCTGCACCACGCCGCTGCCGTCCGCGCTGATCTGCAACACACACTGTACTACTACTAACTATGAACTCTTTTCTTAGAAGCCTCAAAATTACATTTATTGTAAGAATACTGTAGAAAACCTTTGGAGGCAGTTGAATACTTGAAGCTATTTCGGATCTTTGCTACATTAGATTTTAAATTTTGATGAAACCTTGTTTTTTTAAATACACTGGCAACGGATGCCGAGTTCAGTAATTATTAGTACATGAATGTATGTCTGACCACTTGCGCGGTGGTGCCGTCTGGCAGCGTGATGATAGGACTGTTGGGGTCCACTTGGATGAGCGACACAGTGCCGTCCGGGTTCGTGATCGTCTGCAGCATCGCCGGCGCGTACTGTGACATCTGCGCACACAAACATATGACATACCCTTTAAAAATCATCTTAAACAAGATCAATAACTTGGAAGTGAATCATAAGCTTCGCGAGTTTGAAATGAATGTGCAATATTAGTTTAGTAACAGTAGAACACTAGAAGTGTTATATTGATGTGTTGAGTTGTACACGTACATCGACGTCGGCGAGCGTCATCTGGTCGATGCAGACTTGCGAGGCGGAGAGCACGGCGCCGCCCTGTGTGGAGCGCGTGCCAGAACCAGAGGAGTTGGAGCCCGCACCCGGCATGCACGACGACGCCTACCCGACCGACGCCCGTCACCCGGTCGGGTGTGTCATGTGTCACATGTTTGTTGTGTGCCATTTATGGCGTGTGTATTGTTGATGTTGTGTAAAGAACGTCAAGTGTAACATTTATGGTTTTTGTAATATTGATATTGTGTTATATTTATGACGTGTGTAATATTTGTGAAATTTGTGTAACAACATTACCAAATCCATACGCGGCATTCCCAATGTAAGCATGAGTAGAAATCAATCACAATATATTAAAGTTTCAATAACAAAATGAACAACGCAAAGTCATTTGCTTATTTACACATAGAAATTAGTATCTATGTTATGAATCAATATATTAAGGAAAGAGAAAATGAGAGCAGAGAGAGATGTACTAACGGACTGTGCGGGGGGCTTGTCGTCGTCTTCTGTGAATGCGGGCAGGAGGTCCTCGCGCCCGTGGTACTTGTAGCAGTTGATCACGATCTGACGCAGCGCGTGCGTCCACGACATCTGTACAAATTTTTATTCGTGAAAATTTTTAATTTACACTCGAGTAAACATGTAGTATTTTACACAAAGTCACGGATAAGTAACTTTTATGTGGCTTCATTTCTGCTTCGGATTATGTGAGCAGTAGTATTATATTGGTGATATTGTATTATTGGTATGTACCTTCTGCTTCTCGTCCTCGGAGCGCGCGTCCATACGCACGTTGGCCCAGGGCAGGTCCTTGGGCCACCAGGGCGGCCGCGTCGACTCGCGCCCCCAGCCCGGCTTGCCGCGCACTGCACACAACCACATAACACATCAACATCACATTGTCATCGTGCAATACAAAACATATCTTAGCTGCAATACATGTTGCCACATCAATACTTATGATAGCTGCTTTCCTTTGCTGTGCTTTACGTTACCTAAATCAATGTCTCTTACATACAATATGTTTGAAAAGCAAATTTTGCAAGTCAAAACTTTGAAAAGGTGATGAAATTAATTACGACGCATTAAACATGAACATACAATAGACAAACTAAATATGCAGTTCTTCCTAAGATTACTTTTCAATTCACACAGAAATGAGAACAACAGAAGACTTACGATAGTCTACGTAGGAGCGATTGATATGTTGACATCAGCAATATGTAGAAACATAATTTGTGTTTGGTGTATGTGTGACTCACCCATGGAGTACTTGAGCATGAGGGGTATGAAGGCGCGCAGCTGCGCCTGCGTCATCTTCTCGACGGGCGTGGGGATGCCGTCGATGATGAGCGGCGGCAGCTCGAACAGCGAGGGGTCCTCCAGCGGCGGCGGCGGCGCCTGCGGGCACCCGCCCAGTCCGAACTGTGCCTCGTTATCCCACTCCCATCACAACCGACACACACCCACCTCGGCGCACTCGCCGCTTCGCCCACTCTCATACACTCTCATACATTCAGTGTCACTTCACTTCTACTTTCACAAACAAACTTAAATACTACAATGCCTGGGTTCTGCGTGGGATGTCGACTGGGCAAAGATAGTCGAGTTTCTAACAATTGATTGATTTTATCTTACGCTATTGTGTAAAGAAAACAATGTAATTGTGAGATGAGGTGATGTATGTGAGAGGCGAGATGGTTACCTGCTGCGCGAGCGCATTCTCCAGTTCCTCCATGATCATACAGCGCAGGTTGCGCACCACGTCCTCCAGCGGCTTGGCGCCGAACACGCGATACGAGGTGTTGGGTTTGCCCGGCGTCGCCACCAGCACCACCGCCTGCTGACCCACGCGCGTCGCGAACTCCTCTATAGTTTGCTGCAACACAAACATAAACTCAAGGTTTTAAATTAAATACTAAGTGTAGCTCACTACTTTACCCACTTGCAACTAACAAGATCTATTTTCCATTTTTGACTACAATTGTTCTGTAATTACTTAGTATCAAATATCCATACCTCTATCCAATGATTTGCATTTGTAATATCAGTAAGGTACAAATAATTTTTCTTAATATGACTCACTCTAAGTTTCCTAAGCAGCCTGTTCTGGTGCCTCTTCCTGACCGATGGGTTTGTCTCGAAGGAGTGTGGTCGCTTGCGCTTCTTGGAGGAGGCGATGGCTGCCGCTGCGGCCATGCCTATAGGTCCTAGCACAGTACAAAATATTTTATTATTGCCAATTTAAACACACACTTTTACACTGTAAAGCTTTTGTTCATTTAATATACAATTATTTTTACATTTTATCTTATAATATATTGAAGTAACTTTGCGGTTACTTGTCTTGTATTTGTTCAAACAGAGTGAAAACAACATGTATGAGTGTTTCGGCCCATCCGGGCGCGTGCTCACCGGCTGCAGCGAGCTGCTTTGTGACCTCGTCGCTCATGGCATTCTTCATTTCACCACTGTCGTCGTAGTGGCTGCCGGCGGGCGAGGACACGCACTCCTCCTCGTCTTCCGAGGGCCCGCTGCCTGCGCACCCCGAACCAGAACCCTCACACCCCTCACCCTCCGCCGTTACCACGTCCTATACAACATATACATTTTTACATTACACTATTGCAACTTTCTCTCAAATATTACTCCGTAAAACCATTTTTTATGAAGTTCTTCACGAGAACTATTTTCTTCTCATGATGATTTCAAATAATAATATCTGAATGTATCTATTTAACCACATAACATCCCTTAAATCTTGCTGACTCAATCATTTTCTAAGCTAAGTAAAAATCATGTTTTTATTTTGATAGAAACTTGTTCATTTCCTTACAGTAATATTTGTTTTATATGTAAGTTAACAATGTTTTTTCATTTTAATATGTTCTTCATTTCTTCCAGAAAAAATATTTTATAATATATAAATAGTTGCTCACCTCATCAGCCATATCCATAGCCTCATTGCTCTCAGCGTTGTTCATGGCACCGTAATCACAGTCTCCGTCACCTTGTCGGCTCTTATCCTCCTCTACCATTGGGTTGTGCAACCAGCCTTGTCTCTATTTACAAATACCTACCAAGTACCCCTATTTTGTTGACATTAAAATCTGTAAACAAAACCAAAGGAGTATTTTTAAAAAGAAAACTATTATATTTTGGTAATAAAAAACATCCAGATAAAATTTTATTTTTAATACATCGATTTTTGTAAGTTTGTCACTGAATATCACAAAATCTTATTGGAAATAAATATACTAAGAATGAAAATTTGGATACATTCTGAAACCTACCCAAAACTATGGTAAGTTATATTAACTTACCATATAAAGAGTTAACCAAAGATAGATTTTTAAGTTAGTGTAAAGCATAGTTTAATATGTTTTAATTTCTACACTTATAAAATTACTTTATAAAACGGGATATTACTCTATATGGAAGAGACATTTTCTGGTCCCAACATGACCTCCATAAGTGAGAAACTCAGGATAGAAAAAAATCTATATAAGCAAGATAAATATTATGTTCCCTTGGACTCTCATTTATTTCTGTATAGCTTAAAAATATTGCAAATTGTACAAACATCAAGAGTCTTTTATGTGACTATATTATTTCATTTTGTGGTTTTCTGTGAATAAGTCAAATTATATGTATATCTTTTAGATACCTTCAAAGCTACTGAATGTGTCATTATTTTTGAAAAATAAATAGCATTTTGAATTTCCATCTATTCAAACCCATAATATCTTGCTAAAGCTTCAATAGATTTATAGATTTCGAAAGTAAATTGCATTGTAAAACTAATTTCCCTAGAGAAATTATTATTTGACAATAGTTAACATCTGTATTTATTTCACCTCTGACCTTTTAACTTAATCTCTGAGACTATAAAAAATTCTGTCAAGAACCAAGCTTTTTATGAATAATATATTTAATAATCATGTTTATAAAGATCACACTACTATTAAAAGTAGATAAAATCAAGTTTGCTGCATAAAAAGTTATTGATTTCATCATGGTTACTGTACTAATGTACAATTCTGTGCAAGCCAGCTAGACATTCGAAAAATCAATACTTGTTCAAAGTAAAAATGACGATATCGTATATCATAGAAAGGAGCAGATGTCTAGTTTTTAGCATCCTCCCAAATCCTTGGGTGATTATGATCATACTTCTTGGGTCATTATTCTGATAATAGTTCTTAAACTATAAAATCGCGTTTGAAATCAAGGAAAATTGTTTTATGTTTTTGTTTAGATGCAACTCAAAGCGGTTTAGCGCAGCGTTACAAATTTGAAGACGAATGACATAAACTCTTTTGCGGCGGCGTGAAGGATAAGCCCAAATGAATGGCCATCATGAAGGGGTCGCGCGTTCGAGCAGGCCCAGACAGCATGGAAAGACTACGACTGCGTACGCACCTGCGTGATTTGAAAGACATTTTGCAATCTTATTAAAACCTCCGCAAATTTGTTGTGATGTAACAGAGACAAAACTACACTTTTTAGGACTTTATCACTTAGCCCGACACTGTATTCACAAATTGCACCAAGCACACGGGGTACCACGAAAAACGCGAATCCTCCATTGATATCGATCGGTAAGCGCGATATGCGAACATTGTACACTCCATATCTACGAAGCGCCATTTTGTACGAGTCTGCGCGGTGTGATTTTCTTTCATTGGAAAGGGAAATCGCCCCTCAGGCCGCGGGGGGATTGCTCTTGTATTTTGCAAGTACTGACTTAAAAATACTAATTTACTGACAAAACTTACCTAAATTTGTGACAATTTTTTTTAAAGACAAATGGAAATTATAATCCTTGGTAGTAGCTGAGTGTTCGTGAAAAATTCCGAGTTTATTTTCGAAAACATTGATCTTGTCACTAGTGGCGCTAACTGCACAGTTTTTCAGGAACTAATTTTGACAAGTAATTTTGTAAACATTTCAGCAGTGAAAAATCTAAATTCCACTAAATAATCATCCAGTGAAAGAATTGTGATAAATTTGTGTACCTTGGATTATAGCGATTTAGTAAAGGTAAGTTTTGATATTATAGCTTTTACTGTAAAATAGCCAACAAGCATCAAAACTTGTAAATACAAAATACCCATGAAATTTTGAATTCAGACAAACTTTGTTGTAGTGCAATAAAGGTTAAGGTTATTTTTGAAGAAATAATACAAAGTGAAAAGTTGTATAATTCCATTTGGTAAATAAGTGGCAAATAATAAGGTTTTTAGTTATTTATCAACAATGTGACAACAGATTATAATTGTAGTCATGAACTTACCCCTATTACGACTAACTATATCAAAGAATTCAAATTACCATGTCAGCTTCACCCATATATTAAGAGGCAATAACTGCGCCTATGCTTTTGATAGTAGCTCAGCTGAGCCGGTGATTTCATAAGGTTACATCACATTTCCAATCAACAACAGGAATAACCGTTAAAACTTACTAAAACATATCCATTCTTGTAATTCTAGTTTTTTTTAATATCATACATACTTATTACTGATCTAATATTTTGTAAAATCATTTTTTTTAATATTGTAGTACTGATCTGTTTCCGTTACTTAAACATCAGAAATATGGATTATGTATAGGTTTTTTTTTTAAATTTTTCTCTAATATTTTCCAGTGTTCTGTAGGAACCAGATGGAGTTAGTAATCAATAGCAAACTGGTTTTCCATTAACATTTAGATTTATAAAAAATCATTGTAGTTCATATCTTTTACTTACCTCAATAGTAAGACTGGTAAATAAATAAAAACCATAGTAGTAGAATATTTTTTTATTGTTTTATATTGCATATTTTTATTTTATTCTAAACTTAATCTTATATCCTAATATGACTATATTAAAATATTACATAAAGTATTATAAGTTTGTGATAAATTTTATTAAATCACATGAAAATTAAGTATCCTTTTTAAATGTACTTATAAAAAGTATTTTATTTTATTAAAATATCTCTTTTCTAGAATGTACAAGTTGTTATTCTGATTTTTGTTGAGTTATCGTGGCCTCTTAAATTCTCCCGATTCTTCTGAAGAACCTGTAAATACAAATAGAGGCATACATTACAATTTTTATTCTTTTTAATTAGAATAAAGACCTTGTTGTAAATAAAAAAATAAAAATGAATTGGTTCCAAATAATTAGAAATTAAGTTAGTCAGAGACATGTCAAAGGTCATTCCAAACTTAAAACAACATGTCGACTAGTTCTAATTGTAACTAACAGTTGGCTTTCGTTGGTTAACATTTTCATGAATAGCTTTTCAGTATATATAAAAACATTTTTATGAGTAGATTTTCAGCTATAGATAAAGAGTATAATGCTAGGTATATAGGATCATAGATGTAGGTGCTAGGTACCGTGCGTACGATGACAGAACCGTCCCCGCCAGCCAGGCTCGCATACGCAGACGCCGCTGCGGCAGAGACCATGCCGGCAAGGGCGCGGGCACGGCCCCGCGCGCCTCCCCACCTCGCAGTGGTCACCGCCTAGTCCAGGCGGGCAGCGGCATTTGTTCACCCCCTTGCAGCGCCCCCCGCCCAGGCACGGGATCACGCACTTCGCTATAATATACATATACAAATGAAATATGCTATATTATCCTAAATCATTCACTATTGTAATAAAACGTAGTAAAACACGTACAAAACTCGCATCGTAGGCCATAGTAACCCTTGGGGCACTCGCACGTATCCTTTTGTATACATTTACCGCCGTTGAGACACTTCTGGGAACATATTCCTGTAAAAAAAACATATAATTAAAAATACCCCTCAATTTGGCTTTTAAGAGTTTTATGTATTTTCCGCCTAAATAACATCATGAATTTATTAATTTCAGGTGTGAAAATGATGCGACCACAGCCAATATTGCAGCAAATGCGTAGAGCCCATTCGGCCGCATGGAAGAAAAATCCTGAGGTAAACTTGTGTTCTTAATAACAAAATGTTTAAGATATCTTCTTCTTCTTCATAATTAACCGAATTCATACCACCAACTAACCAAATTCAACCACGAAAGTAAACCAAGCCAATTATAGTATAAAACGATCGAAAACTGCTTTTCAATGATATCAGCTGGACAAGATAATCCGTGTGGACCACGCGGGCGAGTTGGGCGCGGACCGCATCTACGCGGGGCAGATGGCGGTGCTGGGCCGCACAGCGGAGGGCCCGCTCATACAGCACATGTGGGAGCAGGAGAAGAAGCACCGCGAGAAGTTCGAGGAGCTCATCTGCAAGTATCGCGTGCGGCCCACCGTCATGACGCCCCTCTGGAACGTCGCCGGATTCGCGCTGGGAGCTGGTGAGTACAGTCGCCTTTGATCGCGGTATTCCAGTAACGGAAAATTGCTTGACCTGGCAACCAACTTAAACTTTGAACCGTCGAACAAATAACATTTTTTTTAATTTAAAATATTTATGATACACCGGCGTGGAATACTGTGTTACATTTGCCGATGTTTGTAGTTTTGAGGCGCGATACGTTCATAAGATTGTGCTTTTAGATTTGTTGTATCGCCAACACACACCACTGTACATCGAGTGAGGATATGACTCGTCGGTATCTACCAAACTAGGAGAATTTGAATTAAGAGTTTACTGACAGATAAATAATGCAGAGGAAAAAAAGGGTCTTGACAGACAGACGGACGAACATCAAAGTGATCCTATAAGGCTTCCGTTTTTATCCTATGAGGTACGGAAACCTATAAACATTTAATAAATACAATTCTTCGCGTTCTAGGCACGGCCCTGCTGGGCAAAGAGGCCGCAATGGCGTGCACAGTGGCTGTAGAGACGGTCATAGTTGACCACTACAACGACCAGCTGCGCACCTTGATGGCCGACCCTCACGTCGACAAGGACATCCTGGAGACCATCACCAGGTTCCGGGATGAGGAGCAGGAGCACCACGACACGGGAATTGACCACGGCGCAGAACAAGCACCGTTCTACAAGGCACTTACAGAAGTGATTAAGGCGGGTTGCAAAGTTGCTATCGCTATATCTAAAACTGTATAAGTGAATAATAAGTGATAATAGCAATACAAAAAGACTAAAGATTTTTTCACACGTGCCTTTTGCAGCATTCCTGAGTGTAGTTTTAAATAACTGCTTAATCAGGAAAAATATTTTCAATTTCCTAATTTCATTTTTATCTACCTGTAATTGACCAATTTTGGTCAAACTACAAAGTTTTGTCGACAGTAGGATTGGGTTGAGGTTGTTAAGGTTTAAGCAGAAACCGAATTTTTATTTTTGAATTGGATTTAGGTAATTCTAAGACATACAAACATTAAATTTAGATAACGATGTCTGTTAATAATACGCATTTGTTTAGAAATTAGTGGTAATAAAATTGAATATTGATACATTGGTCTCGTTTAACTATTTTTTTATCCATTTACATTTTTTTCTTGTACCGTTTTTTACGTCTTCTTTACATTTCTTAAGAATACTTTTCGGAACACGAAACGAGACATTTTTCTTAACAGTACGAACGTGAATTAAGAGAGATCTTTAAATATATGTATCTGTAAATTATTGTGTCTTTTATATTAGAGTTAGCATCTAAAACTGCGTTATTTGGGGTATTACGGTTACCTCCTTCACAATGTCGACCCTGGTACCCGGGCGGGCAGGAACAGAGGCCGGGCGCGGTGCAGTTGCCGCCGTTCATGCACTGCGGGTAGCACAGCGCCGTGCGGCAGTGCTGCCCCATGTAGCCCTCGGGGCACTGGCAAATCTTCTCCTCGTTGCACCAGCCCTGGTTGGCGCACTTCTTGTCGCACTCCGGGTCCGGCCCTGCCGTGTTACAAGTACCCAACGGATAAAATTCTCATCTATTGTATACGAACGCAACATTAATATATGTAAAATATTTTACAAATTAACCGTCAGCGGGGTTTATTACAATAACAAAATAAATAATTTAATGTTAATAAAAAGCAGGCGAGTACCAACCTAAAAACGCAAATTCTGTGAGCAGAGGCACCGCGAATTCAGCCAATCAGCGTTCTCGGTGAGAAGGCCCGGAAAATAATGCGTTCAGGTTAATATAAGTCGGGTTCGTGATGTTTATTGCAACGCGGATTAGTATAATGAAAACAAACGACATTTGACATTTTATTAAAAAAAAATATTGCCTTTTTGGAAATTACGCTAAGAACCAAATGTTGTTTATTTATTTGTAATAATATGATGATAAAATATGATTTTTGCATATTGAAATAATGTTTTAAAAATACCATTAGTAGTTAACATTTAATTTATTAACATTACGTGAGGTCCAAGCGCCGGTCAAAACAATTACATCGTTTCTTTGAACCGATATTGTTGTACATTTATTGTTATGTCTTCACCACAAATTATTATGACGAATAGCGTAAAACATTTATTCGTTTCAAACGTAAACAATAGGTCCATAAAATGTCAATTGCCGTATTGTTCCCGGCGAGCACATGAGCACAAACACTGACGTATTTATATTGAGAGGTAGCCGGGTATTGATATATACCTATACTTTCGACACGCAGTATATCGATAGCTAAAGCAACGATCGTTAGCTTTGAATAAATGAAATGCAATGTTTTAGTGCCTAGCGTTGCCACTGTCTTCGTCGCATGATTCATGTTTTGAAATAAAGCATGAGAAGTTCAATTAATAAGCTGTAAGAGGTTGTAAGGTTTCTTTAATTAGATTCTTAAATAAGATTCGAAGGAAATAGAAATAATTGTTATTGGATTATCAGCTAAAAATTGTAAGCGTCGCACCCTTGTTTCTGTTATTGGCAACACTTTCAGTTCAATTACATATTATTGGTTTTTTTTTTTTAATGAATGTTAGCCCAATACCAGTAACAGAAGTGTCAAAGTGTTAAAAATGCGGGCGATACAATACCTGTCCTTTCTAAATACACACCTCTCTGTGCGCATTCCTTCTTTAGATTTAACCTTAGAGGGGTGCCTTTTAGTGGGATGTTGCGGCCATTTTTGAGCACAAGTCCTATTTCAAATGTTGCCACACCGCTGTTGTTTCCCAGGCAAATCAAAAATATACTGAACTCTGCGAACAACATTCTCTTGATGAATAGTATTAAAAAACAACACACACGAAAGACACATAACATCGTTACACCTGGAAATAATTTGACAGATTAAAAGTTAAAATTAGATACTCAATTTGAAAGTCAATCGAGTCTTTGAGATGAAAACAAATTATAGTGCTTGAAGGACCAACACTTATTACTGCGCAATGTTCTTTTCCTTATTGTGTTTCAAATCAACAAAGTCATGAAAAAAAAATGCAATTAACCTTTTGGAGCTTTAGGCACCCTGCCCTGGGTTTTGATGGAAAGGACGGGTGGCTTGAGCAGCTTGGGGTCGGAGGAGGTGAGCGTGTCAAAGTGGTACTGGTAGCGCTTCCGGGAGCGCCACGTGAAGTTGACGTAGCCCACCTCCGAGGGGATGGTGGGCAGCTTGTGCGAAAAGTTCGGGTCCAGGATGTACGGCGATATGTGCCCGTTTAGTATCGCGAACACTTGCATTGAAATACCTGCAATGTTCCAATAGATCAATTTTATAAAAATGAGAATAATCAGAGTATTAAAAAAAACTAAGTATTTCTGGGTACAGGTTAATGGTACGAATGTAGATTGATGTTTAATTAATAAATTAAATTATTGTTGGTACTTTGTCGTGTACTAGTGACTACAAAATAGTAGGTCTTGATGCACTGACCACTGAACATGCGGACTTGCCGCTCGTCGATCCAAAGCGAGATATCGGAGTTCTGCTTAGCCTCCATACTATCCATGCGATTCTTGTAGTCGCGGCGGCCGGCCGTGAGGCTGAGCGACATGGCCAGCGCCACGGCCGCGCACAGCCGCGCGCCGCGCCACGCCGACGCCCACGCCCACCGCATGCTGCCCACTGCCCACTGCTCGCTACCCACTGCCCACTGTTCGCTACCCACTTAAACTCTCCACTGCACTGCACCTGCAATATAAATACGCACATTTGCAAACAGGACAATATGCATTCTATAATCTTTACCTATTCTTCCCACATTTTTTTCAATTAATTTAGTAATAATAAGCAATCCTTTTCCTGGAAAGACTTGACTGCTGGTTACCATACGTGTAACCCGATCTGCAAAGTGCATCGTGTTTCACCAACAGAAATCAATACCGTGTCACAGCGCGTTAATTTACAATGTTCTCGCAAAATATCACTTTCACAAACATATTTACTGTAGGTACATTAATTACGCATTGCCGCAAAGGTTCCTCTTTTTAGAATAACGCTTTTTTAGATGTACGCTTGTAAGTTAAACGTATTTTATTGCAAATATTTTTTTATGGTAAGGCTAAAAAGATTGACAAAGTATGGTAGTACGGAAAAGGTATGTTTATGTTTTTTCGACGTGAGTTGACTAACCTTAAAGAACTTTAAAACTGTTATGGGATAAAAATTATAAATTGAAACAATTTTTTTTTTTGGAAGACATCGTTAATTTGATTAATTCAATCTTAAGTAATCAAGGAATGGAATGGTCATTTTAAGTGAAGATACATTTGTAGAAAGTGGACCGTAGATGTGCCAGCCCTGGTGTTTAGTTGCAGGTTAGTTTCTGCAGTAATAGGAAACTATTTTGAATAGAACGAGTTAACTTGAATCTTGTATTATTCATGAATATCATGTAAACGAGTCATATTACTGCTCGTCTGCAATGTCATGTAGAGCGTGAGAAAAGACTACTTATAACAATAATTTTATTATAAGCAGTTGGAGTTAATATTGCTAAATTCGTCCATAATCTTGATTTGATCGGAAATTGTTAATTTTTTTAAACGTGTAAATGTGTTAGGTTGTATTTTTGGCGACGGAAAATTACTTTGAACAAGGATAAGCTTCAACCAAATATGGTATTCTAAATATATTAGTACAAATGATTTACAATTATTTATCATTAAACTGTGTAATATTTAATTCCATTATCTCTGTGTATTTGCACAACGTGCCGTTTGCTTTAACGATAATAGATGGAAGGAATTCTTAATGATAATTTTGTTATTGACACAAAATGTTGCCAATGTTTGTTTGTACAAAGATATAATGTGACTATATCAAGGTGTAGATTTTATTTAGTGTATGTTTCTAATAATACTTATCTTGTAGGCGTAATATAACATATGCTTATAAAATTTATTTAAAGAAATATAGATAATTTTATCACCAAAAAAGATAGAAAAATATGAGTGTGGGAAGTCAAAGTTCCAAATGTCCAAACAAGAATGGAACACAAAATTTCATATTACATTTACAAAAAAAAAACAACATAAGTTTATGGATCTTAAAATTCCTGTCAATAATAACCGTGTAAACGCCTTATAATACGCTTGTTGACCATACGAAATCGTTTTGGGACACAGTCCTAACGTCTTTGACAAAAAAGTAGAAATTATCACAGTTAACATAATTGATTGGTCCGTTTGGACGTGCTCCCACAATACAGTACTGGCGTGAGAAACGGCCGCGCACCAAAAAACTCGACGACTTCATTAAATATCTCCCTGTCAAGATGTAATGTGTACGCCGCTTTTTTTCTCACTCCCGATGTCGAATTATACTAACAAAAGGTGTAAACAAAAAAGAGGACACATGGATCTATGATGTGAGGTGCGCAACATTTTTGTCTATGGCTATTTTTCGTGATTTCAAATCTCGATTGATTTTTGATTTATTACATAAGTTCTAAATTTCATTGATATATCCACATCTATATACATAAATTACCATCCAAATATGAAAATCAAATTTAAATGATTTATTTTTCTCAAAAGTACAATAAATTTTTATTACTTTTGTATTTGAGTCATCCATATACGATCACTATCAGCTGTATAATTTATACCACAGTAAGTTGTTTTATCAATGAATTGAAATATAGATCTCTCTCGTCGTTACTTATCGGGGAACAACAAAAATATATAGCTTACCAATCTGTAGTGGTCACCGCATGATAACCTATAATTAGTAATGTTGTTGTAAACTGGCGATAAGTTACGATTTTATTTTGCTATGTCTGTCCTGATTATAATTAAATTAAACTTGACTTATGTCTAACTCAATTACTATTTTTAAACAAATTATTTTATAAGCGATGTTTAAGTAATATAATCGATTGTCTTTGTCCCGTGCTGAAGGCAGTATTAGTAAGCAAATATTAGTTATTACAGCTATAAAGAGACATTTTTATCCTATAAGTAAACTAGGACGGACTTAATTCATTTGAAAACACAGAATATAACACAATAACTGCGCAATAAAATAAGTACGGAGCAGCGACGTCGAAAACTTCTGTGGTTTATTTTCAGGAAGTCTAAAAACCACAAAGGATTTTAAATTCCACTCATAAGATTGCAAAAATGTTTCACAAATACAAATAAACATTGCATTGCTTCAGGGAATACATACAAATATTATATTATAATATACATTGGTTAGCTAGTTTCCTTTTTTTACAGATGTAAGCGTCACAATGGAAAAAAATATGTATTTGCTTTGTGGTGTAGGTGTTTATTGTATACAAATCCTTATGCCGTATTTGCGATCGAAAAACCCAAACCAACAAAATATTAATATGGGAAATTTGGTACCGAAAATTCTGTAAATCATTTAACAAGTTGTTATCTTACAGCTAAACTAGTCAACCTGTAGTTACAGTTATGCCAACATACGAGCAGAAATGATTTCATGAAACAAATCAAATCTTTGTTATTTAGCTTGCTTACCAACCGTTTACAAAACTTCTTAAGTTTACAGTTGATCTAGGTATATCAAAAACCGTCGACGTTGAAAGAACTGGAATCCCTTTATTAAACTGGTAAAATATAAAGAGTCGTAGAGAACGTTAATGATTATTTTACATGTGTCTTTCGCATGTTTAAATTTTTAGTATAATTTTCCAAATGTGTGTTTGGTCGTCAGCGACAGACGCATCCTGTGATAACTGCGCTGCGAAATGGGAATGACCCCGTGACTTTGCAAATATAATATACAACATTTAAATCAAATCCACGGGTCATTTTTGCTAATAATTCGTACTTATGCAGATTAACAATATTCAGGTACTGATTCACATTGCGATTGGTTTAAACTTTAATAAAAAATAATAATGTATGATATATGTTCATTTTCTTTAAAAAAATATAAAAGTATAATCGAATACGAAAAAGGTTGTATACCCCTGTCGTGCACTTGTTAGGCTAACCAGCGGCCGGTTCGTGCGGGAACAGGTAACAGGACAAAAAGAAAAAGCCACAGTCCGGCCGCTCCCGTCCGCGAGACACATGACCACGACACGACCACTGCCGCTGCCTGAATCCTCCTTTTGTTATGGCCATTTGAACCTTTCTATTTAAAGATTCACCTCAACTCATAGGTTGCATAATAATTTAAAACAAACAAGTAAAAATTATAACAGTAAATATAATATTTTAAATAATGATTGTAACATATTTGCAAATTCTATTGCCTATCGAATTATTTACTAAAAAACTTTAATTTCCTTCATTACAATTTTAATTAACTTTAGATAATTACCATATAAAGATCTATCACCGTGATAATTCCGCGTTTAACACATCTACTAATCAACTTGCAATAATATAATTGGCCTTTAAGTGCATACTAAATAAAATGTAAGCAATATATTATTGTTTCCTTTTAGTTTCTTTGTCAGTTAATTCAATTAACACTAGGTTGTGTTGCATCAAATAACGACGGTAAAAACATAATTCAATATTTAGCAAAAACTTATCTTTAATCAGATTTCATATTATACGCAAAAACCCAACCAATATCAATTAGGATACAAGTTCTTGTTTCTTGCACGAAACTTTAAGATGGACATTTTTTGCAACAGATGGTTGTTAAACCGGTTGAAGATGAAAAATAATGGATTTAAAAATATGTACAATTAATTAACAGAGCACAAGACAGGGTCCGTCGCTTGAAGATTATTCAAGGGACACTGTTAATAACACCTTGTTTACATCCGAAACAAAAAGTTGTTTATCTTTTTTTTTACACACCTACTAAGAAAGAATAAATTCAAAACAAAAATCAATGTAAAAACTTACAATAAGATAGTGTCTAGACTAAAAAAAAGTGTACAGATATAATAGAATCTAGCATTTTTTATTAATTTGTGAATTAAGAAGCTAAAAGTCCTGTTTCAAAGGTCCAAAAGCAAGAAGTCGACCGAATGCACTCGATCAGTATCGTTAAACAATTAAACATAAGTGGGATCAACGATCTCTTGTTATCCCGATTAAATTTCGCGAAGACGAATTGTTTAATACAAAAATAAGTGTATACCTGTTTTATTTCCTTCACAAATAAATATAATTATAAAACCACTGACACTGTAACATAATTTACAAGTTATACAAATGGTAGACGATCGAAAGCACAATTTTTACGAACACAAAATACGTTCCCGACGACACATGCACCGCACGGCGCGCTCAAATGTCGACTGCCAATATTTTGTGACTTCATTCGCCGTATGGGATGGGATAACTTTGTGCCTTATCTAAAACGAGATATACAGATTTAAGTTTTATGTCCTTCATGAAAATATTTCATCATACGGTAAAGTTAAACATGTTTCATTTGGTGTTTTTGAAAAAACTATTGTCTTTTCTATACCAAGATATTGACAACGGTAAAAATAATTTTTGTGGACATTTTGTACTACCCTCGGTCCCTCAATGAAGGTCTTAAGTATTAGAGTAGTCGAGGAAGGATTCATAATTTGTGTTGGGTTCTTACATTACACAATATCAGTTTAGCCATATGTTGACCCTTCGAGTTTTCGTTGTTCGTTTGAATGCCAGAGGTGATTTTGAGCGCTACTGTCCTACTGCACTGGAATTATGTATACTGGTCTTTAAAGGTGAGATTTGCGCCTCCTTTTATGTTTTATGGTAGACCTTCCTCCACTATGATATTGCACTTACGCGAATAGTCCGTCAGGCGGCGCCAAGAACGTCTTCGTCAATAGGCGCCTCAAACAAAGGGAGAACTTTGTGTTACATCATGATTAAATCGTATAAACGATTTCATATTACTATTAAAATAAGGACAAGGAAATTAAGATAAATAAAAAACAAACACTAATTTCTTAAAATTTATTTTCTATGCAACATAAAAAAATATCCATCATAGTTACACAATAAATTACCGTCACTTAATCCAAAGTAAAATTGTAAATCATTTAATTCGTGATCTCTGATGTCAACACACATCTTGTCATGTTCCAACTTGTTTTAAATGCAAACTATCATCTAAATTTAACAAAACACCTCAGTATTAAGAAGCTCGCTTAGTAAAAGTTAGCAACACGGACGCTTCTGTTACGTCTCTATGACAAATATCTATGGTTGAACTTGGCGCCAAATTCGGCCATTGGTTTTTTGCGACAGATAAACTATAAAATTGTAGAATATGTTGGTCATAAATGAGATGGTTAGGAAGCGTCCGTATTTACCATAGATTAACATTGAATGCATTGAACAGCACAATAAACAATTTGAACCGGTTCCATACGGCTTTATAAAGGGTGAGAATACAATTACAACAATATTAGCTATGAAGAAAAACTTTCAGCTTATTACACGCTACGGTCAATTGGAAATCTACTAAATACGAATGTTGCCGCTCTCGAGAGCAAGAACATCGTATAACAATATATTTGAATGCAGTATGTATTTGAATGTAGGCTTGTGCTAGTGACCTGATTTCAGTACATCAGTTGATCAGAGGCGAGCGGACGACTAAGTCAATTTTATATACACGGCGAGTTATATTGAACACTTGATTAATTCTAAGAATTTCGAGAAAGGCAGTGATATCACCGTAGTCAACAATTACACAAATTTTTTATCAAATTTCATTTTTTTTTCATTTCAAATGCTAACAAATACAAAGTCAAGAAAAAAATATTTCACAATCATCAACAGGGTCGGCGTAAGAAGCGACAAAATAGACGCGAATCGAACTTGGCTCTCCTAACGTATTTAATATTAAAAATACATATATTATTAATAATTCTTACTAGACATTAGAGCTGATAAAGACTCCTTAACAAATAACTTAAGGGGGCTACGATAACATGCCATCGACAAATATAATGCAATGTAGGCACTGACCTCTATATATGGACAGGCTATAAGCCACGGTATTTTGTGCCTATATGATCTTCGCCATTTTGGCGCTGACGGTTGAGGTTAATATCGGTGGTGAAGATTGGAACTAATAATAGAGATAGAAACGATGCAAAATCTGTCATTTCTAAGCAATGACCTATCCATTTGTAGAGATCAGTGAATGTAGGTATCAGTGGGACAGCAGGGTCCGGACAACACTCCCAGCTCGGAGTACGACAAATAAATATACAATAATAAATAATGAAGTAATTCCTCGGTTTCCGTCCACACACGGCAGTCCAGTGTCTCTGCACCGCTCACAGATTACATCTGGCCGAGGTAAGTGAAACGTATAAATAAAACATATCTATATAAAATCAACATGGTTTGACCGCGTGGAATGTACAGTACTTAGGACCCGACACCTTTCAGGCGAACAAATGAATACCAAATACTTAAATAAAATCAAACAGTTCACTGACAGACAAACATATGCTCGAGTTTATCTGTTAGCGAGGTATAGATAATATTTTATAAAGCAAAATATATATTTAATAGAATGCCAAAGCGAAGTTAGCTATAGAATAGTTAACACGAAAATCTAGACTTAATTCTAATTAGAGATACAATTAAGACATTTTGTCGCACGGGTGTAAGGCTTTTAGAGAATAATGAACATTATATATAAATATTATGTAAGCTAACACACAATTTGTGTATATAAGACTGTTAATGGATTTAGAAATATATAACAGATGTGATGTTTAAAAACTAAAACAAAGCATTAATTGCTATAAATGAATTATCTAACGATATAATTTATATAATGACATCAATGGAAATTGAAAAGAGTAATGTATATAAGAAATTGAGATTCCGATGAAAATTTTCAAGATAATGACGAATTTCCTTAAATCGTATATCGTCAACTCGATATCAATTTTTGATATTTGGTTTGTCAGTATTATGTAAAATTATTGTGTGTTTAAACAACAAAAGCCGTGCTCTCGAACGCGCCTACGATATAAATACGATCACAACATCGAATACAAACTCCGCCAAACTCCGCAAAGCACCAACACAGCGCGGTGGTCAAACTGTCTGCTTTACAAAAATATATCATATTCTATGAACATATACAAATATTTTATTCATTTCTCTTGTCTCTGTTTCTTCTTAGAGTGAAAGAGATGACAATATCATTACACAAGCCACACATAGGTGGAGTTACATCGAAACTCAAATCGGCAGCCATTTTGAAAATATGACAATTTTATATATATGATAAATATAGAAATATTGACAGATTTTCGTGTAATGAAATATATTTATCGAAAATTTATATTGTATTTGATAAGCGAGCTTTTAAATAGATATAAAAAATTTATGGTCCATAGCAAAATTTACTTCATATAGATATGCATTTGATATAAAAAATATTCATTTGCAAATCACCGCGCTATTAATTAGCGAAATTATAATCAAAGTAAATTACTGTTTAATGTAGAAATATTTTATATCTGTAAGACTAGCCTGACCACCGGCTTCCAGAGCTAAATCTTTTAAATCCCATACATTATCCTGTGACAAAAATATCTTCTCCTTAATTTTCAAATGTTCACCAACTACCGTATCCTTAGTTTATATAATTGATATTCAGCAAACACCATATCTACAATCTAAAGCGGCCATTTATCAATTTCATCAAATAAAATGTAAGTAAACGATTTATTTTTTTTCATAATTATTTTTAACAAATTGTTTAACAGAATGCATAGATGCTATTTATTGATGTTTACTGACAATGACCAAACGAATTTGATAAAAAATTAACCCTTTACGCTATTTAATCTTTTGCCAATTTATAACTGTTTTTTTTTAATTTTTTAGTTTTATTCTGATTTGATATTATCTGTAAATGTTTATGTAATGTCCTATATAAATATATAAAGCTGTGTCAAAGGGCAAAAACTACAGAAGCTTGATACTGAACCGAGCGGGGAAGTTATGAAGACTAATTTACATCATTACTTAAAATCAGTCTCATAAAAAAACACAATCTATTTTTCTATTACCAACATTACAGATCGAATCTATTCAAATATGCAGTCGAAATTGACGGAGGTAAAGAAAAAAAAATCCTAATTGTTGAAACAATAGTTTAGACTACCGATACTAGGCTTTTGGGTATCAAACTGATAGTTAATGAGTTTTTTTCACGTTTTGGTCCTAAATAAAACCCATGTTGGCAGTTAATGATTTCGCTTGTGACGTGTCGATTCTCGTTCATAAAAGGCCGTGTACGATATTAACTTACATACGTAAACACTAACATTGACTTCTTGAAGCATTCAAACTCCCGACTCTAAAACGCGGCCATCGCGAGCTGCGAGTACGACACAAACATCTTAAATAACAACAATTGAGATGAATAATTACACACATACATAACTTCTATAACTATAGATGGCGCTGTACCTCACTTTTTAACCCAAAACGAAGGCTCTGTGAATTATTTCTCCTTGCCTTGCTTATCGGAATATATCCTAGGTGACATAATGTTGTTGTAGATACAGTAGTTATGTAGTGTGGTGTGTGTGTGTGTGTGGGGGCGTGGCCTAGACGTATGTGGGCGGCTGAGGTCCGGGCGGGGGCGGGGCGGCAGGCGCGAGGGGCGGCGGCGGGGGCAACACTCGCGCGCCCGGCACGTACTGCCCGATGAACGATCCATCCTCAGTGAAACGACCTGGATATATACATACAAATATTATATATACGTATTGTTTTATCCTCGTAAAGGTTATCAGAATCGGCTAGGAGCCAAAAAGAGAAAAAAATAAGTTACAAATGCAATATAGTCTCAGAATAAACAATAGGAAATAAAAATAAGCTTTAGGTAAAAACAAGCAAAGAAATAAGTTAAAATAAAAAAAAAAAAACATAAATCATACCTCATGAAAAAAATAAATCAAACTGGCTGCTCGTGCATAGACAAAAATCGAAGGAGGAATAGACAAGGACGGAAACGAGGACACGTCTAATCTATTCTAAAAATTATTAAATGCAAACCAATAACATAACAAAGCTCGTGCGTATAAAATCTTAAAGTAAAAAAACATTCACTGCAACTCTCTCTATGTTATTCATCATATAATATATATTACAACCTAATTAGGCTTAACTTATCCTGTACTTAACATATTACCTACGAGAAGAGATTCGTGCAACATTTGCATAGTCTGCCAACGTTGGTCTTTATAAATACTATTTTTGAAATAGTACAATAAAAACCACGAGAAACTTAAGTATGCTAAAACTTAAGATAGAATTTTAACAACCGATTCGAATATTTTATAATCTATAATTGAGATTATCCATATTTGAGAGTCAACACATTCAACACCGATTGGAATTTATATAATCGAATCTTTAATGTATCGATTTAACAAACATTTGAAGTGTTAATGACGTCATTTTGGTGCAGATTTTATTATCGAGATTCAAAAATAGCTGCAATGGCACTATGGAGAGATTAAAGACAAAGCTGCCAAATCGAAGTTAAACACACGATAGATTGTGGGAAGGTATTGGATAGGGGTAGCATGTGGTGGATGGTGGATGGTGGATGGTGGGTATTGGGTAGTGTTCAGACGAGCGTGGCGAAGGCCTGCGAGGCGGAGTCCGGCTGTCCTTGGGGCGGGGGGCGGCGCTTGCGGCCGTACTGGCCAATGAACGAGCCGTCCTCGTTCATGCCCGCTGCAACAACCATGCATACAGCCAACGCACAACACGCACAACACAAAAAACACCATGCAAAAATGCATAACAAAAAGTAACAAACATAAAAAAATGCATTTATTCCTAATTTCAATCGCTTCAAATAGCCTTTTACAGATCCATCGCTACATTTAGGTAGTTTTATGCAAAAAAATTTAGCTAATTAGTTAATAGCAATAACTACAAGATTGGGCATTGTTAGCCTAATCTTGTAAAGGACGAGAGTTTGTGTCTATGACTAGTATAATAATGTTTTAAAATAATAGCACATATAAATTAGACTTGCTCATCCTAGTTCAATGATAACTATAGACAAGGAATGCAATGAACAAGTAAATGATAGTTACCGGTCTCTCCCTCGCCGTACTCGGCCATGGAGTCGGTGTCGCTCTCAGGGCCGGGCTTGGTGCCGCTGCTCATGCTGTGCCGCGACTTGTTGTCCAGTCTGACGACACGTACAAATACAACACGTATACATATGGATACCATACAATGTAGCAAATGCATTCAATTATTTTCTAACAGTGATATGGCAACAACATAACACACCACTGTTCGCATTTAATCAACTTATTAGGTGTGTAATAATCGGATTTTTTTTACTAAAATTTGAAAACAGATGGCTGGTTGAATGTTAGAACGACTAAACAGATATTGATGAAGTTTTGGATCGATGAAGAATGTTTAATTCCACGTCAGTCCAGGTGGAAGTTGCGGGTGACACCTAGTTTTGTTTAACAGTGGGGTGAGGTACGTACGGGTGCGTGTACTCGTGGAAGCCGCCGTCAGGATAGTCGCGGCGGCCGTGCGCGAGCTCGCGGTCGTGCACGTCGTACTTGCCGCCGCGGTTGCGTCGCACCACGCACACCAGCACCAGCACCAGCAGCAGGAACGCCAGCGCCAGCATCACGCCGATGAACCACCCCGCTGTCGCCATCTTGTCGTCGCGCAGTATCATCGGACCGTCTGAAAAATATACGTAACCTCCTCATCATCAATATTTATGTTTGCAACACGTGCCGGCAAATTTGAGAACATTTTAAAAACTCAAAAAAAAATCAATAAATATTTACCAATAGTTGTGTCAACATCCTTGATCTCACTGGTACTGAAGTACTCCCCGTCGTGCGCCGTCACCTTCACCTCGTACACCTGCCCGGGCTCCAGGCCGGTCACTATCACGTAGTCGTCCTCCGTTATCTCGTTGGTCTTCAGCCAGTCGGGGTGCCCCTTCAGCTTGTACCACGCCACGAAGTGTGTGCCGGGGTGACCATCCAATGAAGGTATCCAACGTACGAGGATATGAGCCGTCCCCTCCTTAGCGGGCACCGTCATAGTCTCGAAGACAGGAATGTCCGGCTTCGCGTTAACCATGGCTTTAGTGGTTTGCTCTACGTAGTACTTTTCACCTTCTCCAGCTTTCGTCTTAGCTCTAATTTCGATCCTGTACTTAGTGTTGGGCTCCAGACCGGCCAACTTTGCGCGGTCGAATTTGGGATCGATTTCCTTCTTCCTCTCCTGTAACGGACCCAGAGCGGTTCCCGTTACTTTTTGATAGTAAATCTTGTAGCCTGTCAAGACTCCGTTCTCTTCGATCGGTTTGTCCCACTTGAGTAGCATAGCCGAGGATCCGATGGGGTATACTTCGAAAGACTTGACGGTGCCGGGTTTTCCTTCGGGAGTGAGGAAGCTTAGAACTTCACTTGGAGGTCCGTTGAAGCGGCCGTTGTAAACTAAGATCCTCGCATTGTTTTTCTTAAAGGGCCTGAACTTGGATACGAGAGCACTTGACGCGTCGGCTTTCACTAGAATCTCCTTGACTCTGTCCTCCTCCCCGTCGGTCCAGGTCTGGATCTTGTAACCCTTGAAGTGACCGCGCACGGACTCGGCCGACACTGGGTTCCAGCTGAGCAGGGCCGTGGTGCCGGTTGTCACTTGTACTAAGGTGAAGTTGGTGGGTGCCTGCAATGGGGTGTCTTCTCCTGACCATCCAATAACTTCGACGGGGGCTACATTGGAAGTTCCTTTGGAGTTGACGGCGATGACCTTGATCCTGTAGGGCTGGAAGGTGGGCGTGTTGGGCACGATGAGCTCGGTGTCCTGCCAGTCGGTGACCTGCTGGTCGTTCCACGGCTGTCCCGTGATGTTGCGCCGCCACGACACCAGGTAGTAGAACCCGGGACCGTTGTGTTCGATTTGAGGCATTTTCTGAAGAAAATCAACACAGATTGTAGTACTCAAAAGTAGATACAATACGTACAATTCACATGTGATGTACTTACCGTCCACGAGATAACCATGTTGGTGGGATCGCGTCCTTTGCCCTCGACGTTGTCGGGGTTCTTGTAGGGCACGTCGGGCTGCGTGGTGCAGACGTCGGAGTGCGCGGAGGGCGAGGAGGGCCCGATCTTGTTCCAGGCCATGACGCGGAAGGTGTAGTTGGCCCAGGGGCTGAGCTCGACGGTCCACGAGGTGTCGATGGCGGGCACGTTGTCGCTGGCCACGTCCCACGTGTCCGGCGTGAACGTCGTGTTGTACTGGATGGAGAAGCGCAGGATGGGGGCGCGGTTGTCGCCCATCGAGTGCCAGCGGAGGGTGGCCACTTTCTCGTGACATTCGACGCCGTCCAGTGCCGGTGGGTTGGGTTTATCTGTAAGGGATCACGGGTCGTGTCAGTTCCTGTGTGTGTGTGAGCGTATAGGTAAAAGATTTGTGGGGAAGTGGTGTACTGACCTTGCACTGTGAGCGTGGCCTGTGCGCGCGCCTCGTCGACGCTGGTGCGCGCGATGCAGGTGTACTCGCCGGAGTCGAGCTCGCTGGTGTCAGAGATGAGCAGGGAGTGGTCGTTGGTGACGCGGAAGCGCGGCTGGGCCTCGAAGTCTATGGGCTGTCCGTCGTTCAGCCACACGATGTCGAGGCGCAGCGAGTCGTCTGCGTGCGCGTTGCAGCGGAACGTGGCCGAGGAGCCCGCCGCTACCTCGTAGTTATCCGGCTTGTCAGTTATCACGGTGCGCTCTGGAACACATTATGTACTATGAAAAAGCTGTCATCACATATTATATGTCTAATGATTAGTTCAATAGCGCTATACTAACTCTTGACAGTGAGGGAGCCATATGCAGACTTCTCGCCGAATTTGTTCTTGGCGTAGCACTCGTATGTGCCGACATCGGTGTAGGACACGTCTCTGATCACCAGGTCGCCCTCGGCCGTTATGTTGTACCTGAACAACAAACATTTTCCAACAATTTAGTACACATTAATACATTTATATGTAGTAAATCAAACTAAGATGTTAAGTTATTGATGTACTGACTTTCCGCCTGTAACGTCGACGTCGTCGCGCATCCATTTGACGATGGGTCGTGGGGCGCCGAACACGCGGCACTTGAGTACGGCTTCAGAGCCGTCCACCTTGGTCAGGTTCTCCGGGCCCTCCTTGATTTCGGGCGGGATCGCTGTAATTCACAACTACGTATGCAAATAGTTTAAACATAACGTGCCCCCTGGTGTAAGTCACTTTTTGATTTTTTTTTATTAGCCAAGAAGTCTTCGAGTCGAATGAACTGCCTGAGAAACTGATTGGATATTAACTATAACCATCCAGGTGAGTAACCTCGTAACTGTCAGTGGTCGACGTAAGTTGCACACGTAAGTGTCGGTTCCGCTGAGAGCAGATTGCATCGTGGGCGTGCAGAGAACTCCACACCTCATAAGGATGTACTAGATACAATTGACGTATCCTACCGTCCGCAACTGTTACGTATTACAAGTCCAAACTGTTTAGAAACATGTTTAAAACAGCGTAAAATGTAATCGTAGACGAATCGTACGAAAATAATAAACACGTAATATTTACTGTGATATTATCTACTTAACAGATAATCTGCGATATTTAATAGTGCAAGAGCACTCGATTGTTAGTAGGAATCGAACCGACACAAATCCGTCGCAGCGAGGGGGATGTTGGGGTGAGAGCACAATGGCATTCAGGTAAAGGTGGCGAGACGCAGCGACGCGGTTCGTACCACGGCCTTTGTGCTTCAACCGACAGTGTTTTAATCATGCATATGTGTTAGGTAGGGGATTTGACTTCCTCATCCTGCAATTGTGAAACCAAGCATACGCGATTCTTAAATTTGAAATTGCAATCTGAATAAATTACGAAAGGCAGAAATGTTCAAATCAACACTTTGTTATTTTCTTTAAAAAAAGTTATTAAAAATAAAAATTTATAACAACGTAAGTTTTATTAGGTAACGGCATAATTTCACGTAGTGATCCTTTGTGATAAAAACTATTCATATATTGCGGCTACCCTAACGTTAACCAACCCCTAGGAAAAAAAATTATCGTCTTAGATCCCCTTGCTGGGGTAATGTCAAGGGGTGTTGACCGGCGAAGCACGGGTCATTCCACTTCATAATACCAATTTTCAGGAAAATTGTACAGCCAGCTATATCTGAAGAGGGCGTATTATCTTGCTCGAGTGTACTCCAAATATTTTTCCTATTTTGTGAATTGTCCCTTATTTACTTTCATCCCTCGCATTTTACCAAGAGTTGTAATCGATAAGAAGATATTTATTTCGCAAAAGTAGACAAACTTTACGTGTCATATCACACATGTTACCACCTAAAATAAGACGATCTTATTTAACTTCTTAGGTTTACGTTTTGTTAGGTAATTCTGATCACGATACCTTTTATGATAAATATATTGGGATTTTTTAGCAGTTCGGAGTCGTATTGTAGAATTTCTAAAGTCTTACGTACGTACGTCCCCTTGCAAATAAAAACGAAACATAAATCCTACAACCGTACCCAGCATAAATCTTTGTATGTCGCATTTTATATAACGTTAAAAAAGCCAAACAAAGAATTTCTGCATTGCAACATTTTGTATAGGATCAATGAACTACATTACGCTTTTGTAAACGCATCGAGTTTTTTTGAAAAAGCAGTAAAGCAGATGTAAAAACATGGCATAGCAAAATCAACTTTAACGAATACATTTTAACGTTCAAATCTGATAGTTGTACGAAACTTTTGGTATGATTAATTGTAACTGACGGTTATTGTTATAGTTTACCGTGGTAGCATTACGAAGTAGCTGTTTGGATACAGGAATAACCATTTTAGTTTAGTCCAGTAAGGATGTGACCAATTAATTTTTATTTAGGACGATATTGTTCGAGGTTATTGCGTGAGTATTCATTGCGTGACATATTTTAGGGCTTCAAACAGTAGCTACGCATAACCGAATTTCACGAAAACATCTTTGTTAGAGTTCTATGGAAATTGACTCATGGTTCCTTCATTAGAATTACAAACTAGCTGTTGCCTGCGACTAAAACTCAATTAGTAGCCTATGTGTTCTTCCAGACTATGTTCTACATCTATGCCAAATTTCAGCGAGATCCATACAGCCGAACTAGAGATACCTTCAAACAAACATCCATCCATCCAAACACTCGCATTTATAATATAAGAAGTAAGATATACACGCATTGTATTTTTGTTTGACTGTATGACAATTAAATGCAATTCTCCTCTGTAATAAATAGTGTCAAATAGAGCACCATTCAAATTAGTATGAATAGCAACGTCAACATGTATGCAAATGTGACAATTCGTAACACAAAATGAATGGTGTGAGTATTTGTGCGTATCTTTTCACCGCATCTCTCGGCGGCTGACGAGTGCTCTGTTGACATTACAAGAGCCCACGTAATTGCTAAGGAAGTGAACATGTCGCACACTTTATTTACGTAATTTGAACTGTGTGAAGTTTGAAACATAAAATGTAACGACACAGTTCATATTGTGAACGCCGTCGGGATTTTCATTTCCTACACTTTTCAAGGACGTAACTAAAATATTACAGTATAATTCACTGGTTACAATAAAACTAGTGAAAATTAAGACAAGGACATTAAAATGACATAATTTTTAGAATCATAACGTCTGCATGTCTATAGTGGTGTCAATATTGACCATCACTGGGGGCGTGGTTATGCCCCTGCCAAGAAGTAACTTTGACTCAAACACTTAAAAATAATAAAGTATACTCACATTGCACATTAATATAGACATCCTTGTAGACATAACCATTGGAGTTGGTTGCGTTACAGCCGTAGTTTCCTGTGTCCTTCTTCACAAGGTCAGTGATGACGATGGAGTTGGCGGTGATTTGCCGACGTGCGTTGGGTTCCGCTTGTTCGATGGGCTTGCCGTTGTGCACCCACGAGATCTGGGGCTCGGGCGTGCCCCCCGCGCGGCAGTTGATCACCGCCGTCTCACCTTCAGCCAGGTTCTGGAACTGCGGCTCCTCGGTGAAGAATGGTGCAGCTGGAAAACAAAATGATGATTACTTATAAATACTTATTTCTCTAGTACATTGTCAGTCTGTTTGGTTGTAATTTAGTCGGTTTTTGACACAAACAAACGCAAAAGGGATTACTACCATTCATACAATTCGTAATAAGACTAACTAAAAATGTATTTAATGCATTTATGTCAGCATTTTCGAACAGAATGTGTGTATGGGATTTAAGAGTGCGTTCTCTAGCGTGCATACAATTAACAAAACGGGCTCGTGACATTGTGTCGCGTGTCTACCGCAATTACGAGTCGCACAGATATTACTGGAACATCACTGTGTTCATAACAAACCTCTTTACTTAACTCAAATATATTGTGACGATTGCCGTTTAATACAGGCATAAAACACAAAATTATATCCTAAATCATGACTTGGATAAAAGAAAAAGTTGGGTTGGTGTTATGCAACATTATCAAATCTCTTATCTCTGTTGATCTTAAATGCCTGTGTGAACGGGAATAAGGACGCGTTGCGTATCTCAGTACAAATGGGACATCTCAATTGCATGACGTCGATGTTATGCAATAAGCACGTGGAACATGTTGCGTGAAAATTGTATTCAGTATGTGCACTTTATAAATATTACAGCTGTTACAATTCACTTATAAGTTTGTGAAGTAGCTACTTACAATAAATATAGTCTAAGAGATAGCAGAGTAATATTTTATACTAAATAATTTTACATTAATCAAGACATGTTTTCACATCCTATTAATCTCCACAACTTAAATCATTACCCTAGTTAAAAATAAAAACCATGCCAAAAAGTTTTTAAATGGAAAATGTAAACGAGAATTCCATTGAAAGTACTAAATGCATTTCTGTTGTCATCATAAATTTAAAAGCGGGGGAAAGAGCCAAAAGAATACAGCTCTTGAATTATAATCGTTGGAGGGTTTTATGATGGAATCCAGCCAAACATCCCCCGTGCGACAATTAACAACAGCCTGTAGTATTTCAGCTATTCCTGTTGACCCACTGGGCTCTCTTGATGCACTTACGAGTAACATTTAATTTTACCCATTTGCAATTCAAAAGGTACAGTTTCCCGTGAACAGACTGTAATTTAATAAACATTTTAATTATTATTCTCTTGAAATAAGTTACATCATTTTAACACTGAACTTCTTTTTTATTCTTAAGAAAACTGGGATAAAATTTTTTTATATGGGTTTTCTAAATCTTCATTTTTAATATAAGCGTACATACGTTTTACAAATGATTATTTTTATAACGTAACTACTGGACTTATCTCATCTATGAGTATATTTTTGAATACTAAGTAACAGGTATCATATCACATATCTTTGTATCCACAAATGTTCGACGCACATGTGTATGTATGTAAATGTATGAATTATACGATCGTCGTGTAGCGTTGTGTAGCGTCCCAAAGGTCCTAATTACAGCGGTCTATATGGTTCTATACAGTTCCGCCTCTGACGTGACTCGGACAGAAGTTGAGACGTGGATACAATTTCTAATTTATAATACGTACTCAAGAAGAAAGTATTGAACAGCTTATAAACAAATGAAGCTGATATACCTTCAACGTCCTAACCTACCCTTTATTTTTGTTTAAATTAATTTCTTGCTTTCTTTATTATGTTTTTGCTATTTTCATCGATGATTTAATCTTAGTAATTTTTATTATATTTTTTTAAGATCATATAAACCGCATTGTAGTAAACAGAACGGTTATTTCAGTTTGAGTTTTTTTTTGTGTTTCAAAAGTTTACCATCGGCGCCGTCTTGTGAATGTTTTAATGGCTTCAAATTCAAATTTCATTGAAACCTTATAAGCGTGTTCATTATCTATTTCATACAACACTGGTCAATAGCATTACACACAACGGAACCCCAAGTACAGTCGAGAACGTAAATGTCCTACCCATTTCGGTTAAGTACTTACCGCTAACGTCATTAGGTCGAAAACCCTGATTGTTGTACGATATTCGATACTAAGTGGGTTGCAAATTTATTTCTCTGACTATATATTAACAGATGACGTGTGGCACATTGGCCGAAATAGTCCGTGTGTAGTAGTGAGTGCACTTCCTCGACAATTGAATTACGACCGCATACCACAATGCACCCCACCCTACACACGTACGCATGGACAAACTAAGTCCATATGTTAGCTATACGTCTAACTTTGCACCTTTAGTAGCCAGCGTGGCTCCGATACTGTTCATCGATTCGGAAATTGAATACCTATACTAATAGTACTATATACTGACAAATTAAACGGAAATAATTCTACAGAGCACTGGCTGACAATATCATTTATTGTCTATGGATTTAGTTTGGAAAGATTTAGTGTTCAAATTGATAATATAAACTTGTCTGTGATTACAGACTTGGGAAGTTGAATAGACAGGTTTGTTTTAATTTCTTATTTCTATTCAACTCGACTACAACACAACACATTTGATTTTTTATATGACAATTAATAGATCTACATATTCACTATAATTTTAGTAACAATAATCAAAAATAAAAAGCGATTTTTTTATGTATGTATAAAATACAATAAAAACAACTTTATAATAATTACATCCACCAAATTGGTCACTCTATTCCTATCTAAGTTGTCTATCGTGAAAATAATGTTTGGAGATTCTATCCATAAAACGTAAGCTTCATCTGACATACGAGACGCTAAGCGTTTGTATGATAATGGATGTTTGTTCCCAGCGTTTACTCCGCTTTTCGCGTAATGGCGTCTCTAAGATTCTTGCACATGGCAAAGAAGTTCCGAAGTATAGTTATGTTTTATGTATGTTGCATTATCATTGTCATCATTTGTCTATAGACTTAAAAGTGTATTTTTCAAGAACGTATAATAAAAAAGGCGTGTGTCTTATATATACAACTCCCGTTCTTTACCGCACTCAAAGAAGACTTAAGCAATCCTTAAGTGTATTGTGTGATTTTATCTTAGTAAGAGTAACTTTGATAATTATAAGGCTAGGCAACCAATTATCTAATTTTGTCCATGAGTTTGTACTGACCTTCAACATTGAGCTGTATGGAGTATGTCTGCGCGGTACCGACGCCGTTGCTGACTTCGCATGTATAGGTACCCTGGTCCTCATAGCCAGCGCGTCTGATTACCAATGTCTTTCCATAGTTGTCTTGCGTGATGCGCTGAGATGATAGAATACGGCTGCCGTTCTTCTTCCATACTATTTGAGGCAATGGCCTGCAAGAACAGCTCGTTATTCAACAAGGGGAATATGATTTGTAGAAGGATTTATGTAGGAAGAAAATATTTAATTCTTTGATATAGTCTAGGAGCCATCTAAATTATCTGTGTACCGAGTTTCTAGACGGAAATAGGCAGCGGTTGTTATAATCTACACATATAAACGACTGCCATGAAGAATGAGTTGCTGGCTGATGATGATTCATTGAGTTATTTTCTGATAAACTGTCGACGTTATGTTAGGAAACCAATGAATTATTAATTGGTCGTATATATACTTGCCATAATCCAAAACACAAAAGAATTTAACATAACGGCAACAACACACATAAAAAATTATAAGCAGTGTTAAAATATCTTATTATTAAACAGTATTTTAAACACATCTTATTGGAGAAAATATAATAAAATACCACATATAATATTATTAAAACATGATTTAACTTTACGTAACTTAAGTTGTAAGTTAAACAATTCCTACAAACAAAATTATAATTCTAATGAACATATTTATATTTAGTAAACGTATAACAAACATCATTTACATATATTAAATATAAAAATAAAATAAACACATGAACAATTGAGTCATCGGAGCCATCTATTAATATAACTGTCAGTATTACGTAATCGCTTACAATTACGAACACTACCCCAGTGACCCGGGGTCGGCTGTCCCGGTGTGGGCGAGCTGCACTTCAAAATCAATACTAACGTGCACTAAGCAACAATTATGACGTCACAGGTATTATTGTTGCATATTACGTCACAGATGTTGTCGGCTCTTGAATGTCGTGATCAGATCTCCTAGGTGAGTTGTCACGATCATACGCAATTATATTTCAAGAAAAAATATCATAATTTTTAGTGTTTTTATCACTGCCGAGGATTTTAAATAAGTGTATATTCGAGACTATATTCACAATAACCGTAATATCTTAGCACCAATATCTAAAATTATGTCAAAAGCTGTATTGATCGAAATTCCCAGGAAAAATTTAGGTCATGATGCTCCTGTTAGAACTAGTGCAAGGTTCAATGGAACTAGGACAACTGTGTAATTGCTAGTTAGCTTTTCAAACTTTGATACTACCGAACATCCAATATTTTTATGAAATCGAAAATATATACTCACGTTCCACCATAGATGCAGTAGAGTTCGACCTTCTTCCCGCGCCACGCCTTCTCGACCCTTCTAGAAGTATACTGACGGACAGGCTCATGCTTATTCAGTGCCGGCGACAGACCCGTCTGCTGCACCTCCAGGTACACCTTATTGCCGAGCTTGTACTCGTTACGGAAGACGGACTTGGCGGCACAAGTGTACGCGTAATCGTTGCTAGCGTCGAATCGAGTTACGTTCGAGAACCAGAGGTTACCCTCGGGATCGAGCGTCATTCGCGAATTGTTTATGGTTTTGAGCTGTCCCTGATCTCCTTGCAGCATCCAGTAAACATTGGGGCTGGGGTGACCGTCTGGGGGTTCACAGGTCAACTTGAAAGGAAAGCCTTCCTGGGCGGTGATGGTCTGCTGAGGGCCGTCTGCCTCTTTAAACGAGTTGAGCTCGGCTTTCCGCACGAAGACAGAGTTCGAGGTGGCCGTGCCCCACTCGTTGTAGGCGAAGCACTGGTACTGGCCGAGGTCCTCATCGCGGGGCTTGCTGACGACCAGCGTGCCTCGACCCGGCTGCTGGGAGATTCGCGTGTCGTAGCTCGAGTATTCGAAAGGTTTGCCGTTTTTGATCCATCGGTATCTACAGACAAAAAAGTGACATTAATTAATGTTGTTTCGGCGATGACAAATTTTCTTAATTTACTGTGTTCTACTACAAAAGTTCATTCGTAATTTTTGTAATGTTCTTTAGATCAAGGGTGAGAGGGCATTTTGTCTTAATTATAGTGTCCTAGAAAAAAGTATAGGAAGATATTATTAAAATACTATTTTTTGTAGAGATATTTTGATTGCTATGTTGCATGTCAACAACGACATGCATAAGACTGCACCACATATACCTGCATCTATATCATATATGCGGAAATTGACCATTTTTCACTGTAGTACCTTAATATCTTTATAATTACTTTTATTTTCAGATCAGGTCATTTCAAATAAAACTATGACAAGGTTAGCAGACTATACCCAGGTCAACTAACTTAGACTAGCCGATTACATGTTGAATGCTTTAAAATATACTTATAAAGGAGTAGTAAAATTCGAGACTACAGAAACCGCAACACAGTATCAAATTATTGGAATGATTAAAAACGTATACTTATTTGTATAAACGATCGGAAGTGATTCGCGGTGGTTATGGTTTATTAAGAGGGGTGACGTCAGATGGAAGCGAGTACCGACGACCGTTAAGACAAGTTTCTCATCGATACTCGGCATGGCGGCAGGCGGCATGGCGGCCGCGGACCGTTCCAAAGGCAAAAACAAAGTATCGCTGTCACACGTAAGACGAACGTGTATAATTAGTTGCATTATACGAAATCACTGCAATATATTGCTTATTAAAAAGCTGCTCGTACGCAGGTTCATATAGATTCATAAAATTTAAGGTTTATTAAAAAAAAATCTGCAGTTATCGAGCTATGAAAATAGATACTTTCTTAAGGAATCTCTTATTCATAAAGTGTAACTCTATTCGTCGGATGAATCGAAATGTAAGTAACACAAGTTTGAAATAAAAGTTCTAAGTTCATCGAAGCTGTACGGCAAATCTTATCTGTAACACTTTGTAAAGCAGGTCGATCGAGTTAGGGAAAGTAAGGACCAGTCGATTCCGGTTAACTCCTACTTTTACACTATAGTACATGAGGTTAACAGTCTTTTTTAAAGATAATATAGGTTAAAAACTTTAGTCGCGTAAGACAAGATGCATAAACCAAAACGAGTGTATGAGAACCAAATTTAACTACTATTTTATTTTTAATTTAATTTAAAGGTAAAGCATACGAATAACAGTCAATTCTTCAAACTTGGTCAAGTAGTTAGAAACAAGAGTTGGACTGTCATCTAGTTTGAGACTAGATAATGGACACATCCCTCTCGTAACATCCTTAAGTCCTCTCCATCTAATCTTAACATCATTTACAATCAGTAGTAACATATCTAGGCGAAATAGATTTATTTGTTCTCAGAGATCTAATGCCTCTTATTCCTATTATCGTCTTAATTAATTTTTGATGACTATATTCTATGCTTAGAAAAACATACAAAATTAAAGGCTAAAACTTATATCTCGAGCATTATCAATTATTCAACATTTACAAAATTGTAACTTTCTATTATTACATTTAAGGGCATCTAACTTAATTCCGATAACAATGCACATATGTACTTTAGTATCAGCGGCACTATGACGTGTTTACCCGCATACAATTATGCACCAATTGTGTCAATGTGTGTTAACATTTCCGAGTTCAGCAGTGCCTCTGCAGATGCCCTGACTCATTGGATGCTGAATCACAATTGATTTATGACTGACCACATCAATACGCAAATACATTGACCGCCTCTGATGTTCCTCTGACTATAAAATAATGATAAGGGACTATAAATTAATTTAAGTCAGGAATTCTTTTGTTATTTTTTTCTAAAATACATTCGCCGTCCTTAAAATGTTTGTAAGAAGATGTTATGTTGTAAAACAGTAACACGTAACTCTCTAAGCTAGGCAAAACTATTTATACTATTCGTATTTTTTATCGCAATTTTGTTGAAATTTACACAAACAAAATTACAGTGACATAAAAGATTGTAGACCGTAGGTCATGCCGGTAGTGTTATCGTCGTTAAAATCGATTGTAACACATCGATCAAAGTTCTACGAATCGTAGCCACAAAATCAATACGAGACATTAATGTTGTGCCATGGCAGTTAAACTTAAAAGCGACTACAGTGTCGATATAATGACTTGATTTCTAATTATAATTCCCTTCGTTGAGTTTATCAACAATATTATATAATACAAATTAGAAAGCGCACGACTGTACCTTATTTGATAATGAATACATTTCATTTGGTTCAGTGACTTTACAAAAATATCCATGAAAACATCGCTTCTGAGTGTAACAAAATCTCAGGGGGTCAATGGGGCAGGAGCCGGGCGCTAGGGCTCTTCACAACATAAAATAAGACTGTAAATTTTAATTTGAGTAGTACGCCTCAATGAATGTTGACGGTACTGACAACTCAATACCAACCAGTGCACATCTCTGAATTACTGTACGATGTTTATTTAGGCGTTTGATTTGGAGAGATTGAAAATACGCATGAACGATTTCAGTAGTAGGGGTCGTTTGAAAATGTATATTATAAAAATGAACTTATCCACGAGTATATGGCAAAATTTGATATAATTTATGAGCCTGTTAGTTAACATGATTATTTTATTTGAGTCTATCAGGAGGATCATAGCTATAGAACAAATATCTATGGACAAATAGAAAACCACAAAATAAATAAAAAAATCTGACGGCAAGCCTCAAGGCTCAGGGCCGATAGGTGTGGCTATGACTATAGAAATCGTATAACAACGAGCAATGTAACATTTATCAACAAATATAAAAGCAATCATAAGCTTCCAAATATAAAAGCAATCCAACTGCCATCGGTGGAAAACTTTCCAGACGCTGTTCGATCATCGCCTGTTCGTGTTCTCATCAATAAAACTTATAAATAAAACATACTAACGCAATTCACATTCAGAATTTACAATCTGTATTGACACATGATTTCTAAAACGAATATTTCAGTTTATCAATAACAACTCAACGAACAAACCCAACAAAAATAATTATCAAGACCAATCTGATACTAAACCATTTTTTTAGCAACACCAAGACATGTAAGGACATAAAATCGTAAGTAATAAGGAAAAATTTTAATTTCAATATTTTAAAACTAAAACTTCAGCAATTTTAAATTTCGGTTCGACCATAGACAATAGACTAGCGGTTCATAAAGTATAATAGATTCTCATTGTATTGGCATCACTTTTGTCTGCAACTGGTGCAATGGAATAAATGCTGCAAGCTGCCATAGACATTTTCACACTACCATTGTTCCAGACGCAATGCCATATTATTAGGGGAGCTGGTTGTTAGTCAAATAAAAATATCGTACTCGCAAAATATAATTTACTAACTGTCCGCGAAGAATTAAAAAAAACCTTAATGAGTAGCTTATGTGTTCCTCTAGAGTATATTCTACGTCTACGCGAAATTTCATCAAGATCCGTTAAGCCTTCCGAGGTAACTTCTAACGAACATCCATCCATCCATGCTAACATTCGTATTTATTACTTAGTAACAGTAAGAAGAATATCTATTACGTATATAGGGTATTTTTCAAATACTTAAAACAATTGTTAAACTTAAAAAAGCCTTCAAAAATAAAATTTAAAAATTATTTAACTTTATGACTAAAGCTAATTACTAAAATAAATATTTTTGGGGAAATGTTGTAGTTTCAGGCTAAGTAATTAAGTTGCCTCGCCTCATGATATTAAATTACATTTTCAAGGCTATCGTGAACAACATTATAAAACAAGAGCATAATATTTTCAACACAACTGAAATTAGTTCACAATTTAGTATGCACTAGTTACTGAAAGTAATAAAGTACTTACGAACTTACGACGCAATTTGTCATGACTATAAAAATACTTTTATAAAAGTACTATAATGGCATTATGTCAAATTAAATGTAAACATAATTTTTATTTTAATAAAAAAATTAAGGTTCAGAATTTTTGTAAAGAAATCTTATACATAGAAAAGAAAGCCGTGTTAGTTATAATACACTATTAATAACACAAGAACGACTTTACCAATATGGCTGAAAATTGGTGAGAGGGTAGTTTAGAGCCAGGAGACGGACATAGGATACTAGTTATTCATTTTTTTTTATATTTTTTTAATTTATGCCTTGAAGGGCTACTTTTTATTTAACTTACTAATATTATAAATGCGAATGTTTAGATGGATGTGATGTGTGTGAATGGATGGGTGGGTGTTTGAAGATATCTCTAGAACGGCTGAACAGATCTCGATAAATACGTATAGAACATAGTCTGAAAGAACACATAGGCTACAGTAATTAAGTTTTTTTTACATATCCACGCGGACGGGGTCGCGGGCGACAGCTAGTAATAATATGAAAATGTCTGGTATACAATTTACAAGTAAAAGAAATCAAATCCCAGCTATTAGATACGCATAATGGCATACGCTTGCATTATATACCACGACTCGTGGAAAGTCTAGGAAGTGGTTTAACGACCACGTCTAAGAGGCTTAGTATCAGTTTACGTGTAGAGCCCTCGAGTGAGTCGGGGGACGTTCGAGCCTTTTTACCACATTACGTCGTGTGGAAGTATGGTCGGCGCCGCTGTGACTGGCTCAAACAACCCTTACACTCCCCCCTCTTCCCCACCATCATCATACGCAGACTGCATCACAGACATTTCTATAATTATATGACAACTTTAATGAGTTTACTGAAATACTTCATCTGTGTATTTACAGACATTCTATGATGTGAACAGTCAAAGAATTAAATTCGCTACCCACATAGGATCGAATATCGCAGAGCAAGCTGTCAGGACACGTTTTCGACTACAACGTAAATGTTCTAGACTGTACATTATGACCACAGTACGACAGTAAACATTTTCTTCTGCTCATGAGTATACCGGTATGAACTTTAAGGAGATTATAAATATAGTTGTATGTATATTAGTAAGT